AAATCAAAATAGTTTTTCACATTTGGGGATATTTTTATCTAGTTGTGTAGACTTGTATAAAATGAAACTAAGGAAAATATGATTGTTGTTGCTGTGAATAATGTAAGTTGGCGCTGTCACGGTGTGTTGTAAAAAGGACCCCATGGGACCGGGATAACAGATTTTGTAGGTATCAGCATGATCAGGGGACACACGATTTCACCGAAATTAATGTACACACTATTGACAGTGAAATTTTGAATAAAATTAAATAAAATAGATTACAAACATAAGTGCAGATATACAATGAACAATTTTTATTACCAGATAGTGTCACAACAGGATTAACCTGCGTAATTAAATACAGATTTGTCAATATTTTAACCCTCAAGGAGCCGATGATTTTCATTGAAAGAAAGATCAGACTAAGGCAAATCAAGAAGTTTCGGTAAATTTTGTGTGTGTGATTATTAGATCTGTCTTTTGACCACTATAAGACTTTCCACTTTTTAATTTGAACAGGGTCAGTTTTGATGTGGCAAGCAAGTAATGTCACATCTAACATTGTGACATCATGATATCTGTACATGCCAGCCAACAGATTTGTATGGGATTCATTAACAAATTATGATAAGAAAGATAAGAGATAAGATAATACTTTATAATCTACAGGGAAATTCATATTGCACAGCCGATTAGCACTAAAATATGGAAAAAAAGAATATATGTGTAACATTAAAATAAATATGTACATAAGAAAATATAACCACAGGTGAAAGCATGTAGAAAAAATGGACATTATCACAGTGACAACAAGGAATGATATTTAAAAAGTATATATATACAATATGCAATTTGCAACTCGTAACAATATGCAAATATCGTAAATTTATGAAATATGGTACCTGAAATTTTGCTTCCTGTATTTACAATATTATATATTTTAGATTTATTTGATAGATATCTGCCTTGCAGTTAATGATTCCTTCGATTCTATACATTACTTACATCACAACATCTAAATGTAGACTGACATAAACATCAGGTGGTCCTTCTTTTATTTCCACCACTGGCTATGTCAACTTATACTTCCTGCATTTGGTTCTTGAAACATTTTTATTGATGCATGGACAATGACTATGTGTAGGTTGTATTGTCAGTGAGTCTTTTTTGATCGGCAGGTAGGGTGACATATTTCTCCATTGAAACTGTGTTGAAAGTATGCGCAGCAGCTAGCTAGTGTTAGCCACAATCTTGATATCAAGGGCAACACATTCCAGTCATTCAAAGGGGCGTTCAGTTGATTGTCGGTAATGTCTTCATATCCAGTTTATCTTGTTTATTGAAGCAGTCATCATGCTTACCGTGTTTACTTTTAGTCTGTAATGTTTATAAATAGTACAGGTTGGAGATCCATTGCCAGTAGAAATGAATGCAATGTCTTAAGATGTGGGTATTCTTGTCAGTGACTGTGTATGTCTTGTTAGCTATGCCACACCCATGCCACACCCATTATATACAGGGTTAGAAACTAACGGTTTTTGTCCACTAGTCCTTATAATTATAACATATAGCAAAACCCTTAAAATGGGCCAATTTCTACTAGTCCTTAGGATACCTTTACTATTGGGCAGTTTGGTCAGGACTACAGGACTAGTGCCAATTTCTAACGCTGCGGGGCCATACCACAGTGGGGTTGTATGTTCCTCATATGTGACAAGACCCCCTTGACTTTCATTATTAACTTTAAACACTGTTCGAGGTTAGTACAAGTTTCATCAATATATTTAGGAAGGGTGAGCTCCAGGCCCTTACCTCTTTTCTGTAGCTCATCTTATTGGCCCAGTTGCCTAGTTTCTCATGTAACAACTAAGTGAGAAAACAGACAGGATTTATTTCAAGAATTTAAGCAGTATAAAAACTTGAGCAAATAATTTTGTGAATATGTTGTAATATAGGATTGTGAAAGTAAATATTAGCTATTGTGAACAAGGGGTGTCTGTGAACCATGTGCTGACCTTTCTATAGGGACATAAAGCTGTCTGACTACTGGCATTATGATTGATAGGTATGTTGTTGCAGATCCTTGTTACACCAAACCCTTATGGACAATCTTCGCTTTCATGTACACATTTCACACTTCAACTTTCACATAAGAACAATTTGTATAAATTTCTTTATTAGAATTTTTGAAAACTTGAATGAAAGGCCTCTCTTATTCAAATGAAAACACAAAGGTTCTTACTATCACCCCTATGGATATATCCGTATTTCAAGTGGGGACATTTGATTGTGACCCGAATATCCTGTATATGTTACCTGTATGAATGAGTTTCCTATGTTTCTTTAAGTAGATGTCAGCAGCTGGTTAGATTAATAATTGATTGATGATGAGAATGGAACAATCATATATTTGAAGATTCTTTTCTCGAACATATCCCTTCACCATGTACTGCTTATAACAAAAACATATCAATACCTTTAATTGAAATTTGCTATGCTTACAATACAACATATTCAAGCCTTTAAACCTTGCCCCTTATCAGCCATTTGATTCTTTAACAGCTATGCCCATCAAAAATGAGCTTGAGTAGGGTTTTGAATTTTTACAATATTTTATCAGTTTTTGATAGGACATCCTAATTATTACCAATCATGAAAAGAATCAGTTTAGAATATTTTTTAGATAGCGTTCTGTCGATAGCGTTCCGAAAATAGGAACAAATCTGATACCTCTAGTAATAGTAATATTCCTGCTTTTATGATCAGAGCCATCAGCATTTACCTCTATTGATGTAAAATACTCATCACAATTACTACTTTTCTTAAATAACAGCTTCAAATTGAACAGTTCAGGTAACAGATGTGTGTGTTTCAATCTAGTCTATTTCGTTTTAAACATACTGAACTGTCTGCACATCATGTCAGCATGAAGGTAGACTAGTGATACAGGGTTAGTGTATAATGAAATATATTCATGGATACGTATTCACAATTGTGTGTTCTGAGGTTGTAATTGCAGTTGATTGGTCCGTACAATGGTCTACTTCAGACTTAACCGTACCACCCAAATGTGGGTCATCAATCCCTGGCTGCTTGTGCCAATTGGCTACAGAGCCAGGTTGTTTGGGGCTGCCAGTTGTTGGAAGCACAGCCGTGTATATTGGATGTGTCATGGTTGACTTGTAGTATCCTAATACAGCTTTTGTTCTGTGTGAAGAACTGTCAGACCAGCTAGGCATGTGCCTTGTGTTCACATCTTGCAGGGGAGGTCGGGTAGCCTACTGGTTAAAGCGTTTGCTTGTCACGCCGAAGACTCGGGTTCGATTCCCGACATGGGTACAAAGTGTGAAGCCCATTTCTGGTGTCCCGCCGTGATATCGCTGGAATATTGCTAAAAGCGGCATAAACCCATACTCACTCACATCTTGCATTGATAGGCCTTGAAGTATGTTTTGTTTTGTTTTGTTTTGTTTTGTTTTGTTTGTTTGTTTGTTTGTTTGTTTGATGTTTTACACCGCAGTCAGCAATATTCCAGCTACATGACGGCAGGTTTTTTTTAAATTTAGTGTGGACCAGACGATCCAGTGAAATGTAGCATCGATCACAAAACTGGGATACAATATGCATCAAGCAAGTCAGCGAGCCTGACCACCCGATCCCGTTAATCGCCTCTTATGACAAACATGGGTTGCTGTAGATCTATTCTAACCTCGAGCTTTACAGGTCCCTTGAAGTATGTGTTAGTAGATGCACCTTGTGTTGGTTGCACCGAGTTGGGTTTCATACAGCTTTTACCAATATTGAGGAAAGTTCCAGTGATCGATTATTGTTTATGACTTTCAGGTTACCTTATACTGATGCAGTGATAAATTGTTATTTTTCATAATAAATTTACTCATGATTATCAGTTTTGTAAATGAAAAAATATTTCAAATCTAATTTGCATTCAAAATATTGAAACATTCTGTGACCTTATCTTGAATGCTCGGGTCATTATATCCCATATATTAACATTAAAAGCTTTTTAAAATGTTGCCAACAGACCATTTCGGCCACGAAGACTCAAAAGTTACTGGCACAACTGTTGATCTCTAACTAATGACATGTTATGACATTCACTATTAATATGCAATCAATAAAATATTTTCATTTATAGAATTAAATTCTGAAATTTTCAAATCATTCATTGAAGCCCCTGGAGTAAACAGACTAAAAATATCAGTTGGTTATCCTTGATTGGTTGGAAAGCATAGTTGCCTTTTACGTCAAGCATGGGTTGCTGAAGACCTATTCTACCCCAGATCTTCACGGGTCTGTAGTGTTTGTATCCATGTGGGGAATCGAACCCTGGACCAGCAAAAGCCTAAACCATAAGGCAACCCCACTACCATTCGTCCATTCCTTGCTACCGCCTCCGTGGTCTAGTGGTAGAGCGTTCCCCCAGACAGCGGAAGGTTCTGGGTTCAATCCCCCGCCGCGTCATACCAAAAGACGTTAAAAGATGGTACTTGTTGTTACCCTGTCTGGCGCTCGGCATTAAAGGGCTAAAACAAGGACTGGTCGGCTCGGAGTCAGTATACTGTGTCTGAGTGGGGTATCCATGTTAAACTGCAGCATGATATCTCAGTGTGCTAGCACTATAAATCGGCATCAGTCCGGACTAGTACAAGCAGTCACACACACACATACACGTGCATGCACATTGCTATATAAGCGCAATAATCTTGGACACGTTGTTAAACCCAATTTCACCTCACCTCGTCCGGTCCTTGCACAAAACATGTGGAACAGACAGTGGCTTCAGGAAATAGAGACAGTGGACACTTGTCTATACTAGCATCATGTCGGATCGGAACAATACTGGTTTATAGATAGTGCCTGAGAGTGCCCGATTAGACAGTCCACTGCACTGTGTTGGATCCAATAGGAATAAATGTTGGCCAGATATAATGCCGACCAGGCTACTCGTGTAGTGTGAAGTTGTGTTTGATGTTACTCAATCCTGTCATTTGTTCCAGTCTTACTGAAGGAGACCATCAATGTGGATGACCTGTCCAACAAGACACTCAAGATCACCGACTTTGGTCTAGCTCGGGAGGTGGACAAGACAACAAGGATGAGTGCGGCAGGGACGTATGCCTGGATGGCACCTGAAGTCATCAAGTCATCACGCTTCTCAAAGTTCAGTGATGTGTGGAGGTATGTTGTCATTACTTCATATGTTCCTTGCTTTCATTTCTTTTGAACATGGGTTCCTACTGGTTAAAACTTCGGCTCATAGCAATGGGTGCAATTGCTTTGTTATTGCTGGAATATTGGTGGAATATTGGTCTCTTCTGTGGTGCCCTCTGTCTGTATATATCTGTATATCATCCTGCGACCCCTCGAGGTCCCTCTCTCTGTATCTGACCTCGGCAAGATTGGGTTGGAATCTGTCAGTGTTACCCCAATACCCCCAGCAACTCAAGGTGCCTCTGTCTGTATGTGACCTCAGCAAGATTGACATCTGTCAGTGTTACCCCAATACCCCCAGCAACTCAAGGTGCCTCTGTCTGTATGTGACCTCAACAAGATTGACATCTGTCAGTGTTACCCCAATACTCCCAGCAACTCAAGGTGCCTCTGTCTGTATGTGACCTCAGCAAGATTGGCATCTGTCAGTGTTACCCCAATACCCCAGCAACTCAAGGTGCCTCTGTCTGTATCTGATCTCCTCAAGATTGGCATCTGTCAGTGTTACCCCAATACCCCCAGACCTCAGCAAGATTGCCATCTGTCAGTGTTACTCCCAATACCCTACAACACCTTCAGGTCCCCTCTGTCTGTATCTGACCTCGGCAAGATTGGGTTGACATCTGTCAGTGTTACCCCAATACCCTGCAAAACCCTTCAGGTCCCCTCTGTCTATATCTGATCTCAGCAAGATTGGCATCTGTCAGTGTTACCCCAATACCCTGTAGCCCCTACAGGTCCCCCTGTCTGTATCTGATCTCAGCAAGATTGGCATCTGTCAGTATTTCCCCCAATACCCTGTAGCCCCTCAAGGTGCCTCTGTCTGTATCTGATCTCAGCAAGATTGGCATCTGTCAGTGTTACTCCCAATACCCTGCAACCCCTACAGGTCCCCCTGTCTGTATCTGATCTCAGCAAGATTGGCATCTGTCAGTGTTTCCCCCAATACCCTGCAACACCTTCAGGTCCCCTCTGTCTGTATCTGACCTCAGCAAGATTGGCATCTGTCAGTGTTACCCCAATGCCACCAGCCCCTCGAGGTCGCTCTGTCTATATGTGACCTCAGCAAGATTGGCATCTGTCAGTGTTACCCCAATGCCACCAGCCCCTCGAGGTCGCTCTGTCTATATGTGACCTCAGCAAGATTGGCATCTGTCAGTGTTTTCCCCAATACCCTGTAGCCCCTTGAGGTCCCCTCTGTATCTGATCTCAGCAAGATTGGCATCTGTCAGTGTTTCCCCCAATACCCTGCAACACCTTCAGGTCCCCTCTGTCTGTATCTGACCTCAGCAAGATTGGCATCTGTCAGTGTTTTCCCCAATACCCTGTAGCCCCTTCGAGGTCCCCTCTGTATCTGATCTCAGACGCACAGTGTCACACGCAGCAGGTATTAGTTTATGGCGAGACGATCCTGAGTTAGCATTAGGATTTATGTAGGTTATTTCCTGCTTTCAGCTCAGGTATGCATTAATTATTGTGTTATGTTGTCACTTGACACTCTTAAACACAGGACAATCCTTGTATTGTAATGTACGGGATTTGAATAGGGAAAAACTACCAGTATCATAAATCACACTGAAATTCCTTGCCTGTGCTCTACAGTGTGACTTAATCATGGCCCAACATGGCCATGAAACATCAGAACGGAACAAGTAATGAAAGTCAAGCTACAATTCTTATTTCATAGTTTCTGAACATAACATGTACATATTTGTTCAGTGAAACTCCTTTTTGAAATATGTAGCAAGAATTATGTCTTGATTTAAACAAATATAGCAGGTTATTGTAATTTTAACCACAAATATTGTTTATGTCACCTTTATGAGAAATGGGGGCGGTTGGTATCCTAATACAGCTTTGGTTCTGTGTGAAGAACTGTCAGACCAGCTAGGCATGTGCCTTGTGTTCACATCTTGCAGGGGCGGTCAGGTAGCCTACTGGTTAAAACGTTTGCTCGTCACGCCAAAGACCCAGGTTCGATTCCCGACATGGGTACAATGTGTGAAGCCCATTTCTGGGGTCCGCTGTCGTGATATTGCTGGAATATTGCTAAAAGCGGCGTAAAACCATACTCACTCACTCAATTCATGAGAAATGAGATGAAAATTCATAAAAATATCATTGTCTCTGTGATATTTTAAGAAGAATGTTATATGTTTGTGTCTTCAAATATATGATAATTAAAATCCATTAAAACTCTCAATAAATATGTCATGAATCACAGGTAATGACAAATACAAACACGGGTAACTTTATAGTTGTTGGAAAAGATTAGGTGGTATTCATTGTGCATTGGGATTTCATTCATCCATCTTTGAGGTGCTGACCCTTCATGAGACTTTCTTGTGAAGTTGTAATCCGATCTCACTCTGATTGTATACAGCAAGTTAGTCCCAGTAGATCGGTGAGCCAGGAGTTGCAGGGTTACAGTCACTGAACACAGCCTCATGTTTATCTGGGTAAACTGTGCAAACATATAAATGCGTTGGTGAAGATGACAAAAGCGCATCGCTATCAATCACTTAATCAGAGGTGGGCTGTATTACAGCTGTGTGGGAGTCAGGTTGAGGCTTTTTGTTCAGGTGTTCTTTGCCATGTGTCTATTTAGGTGGTCAAAACAATGAAGGGCAGTGAAGAAGTGACAGGTGCTTTAAGAGCCATGTAGTTTTCCCTGTGGTTGATATACTACTCATAAGATGTTAAGGATCTCCTGATTCTTTCAAATTACAATAGTTAATCTGTCATGGCAGGTCACTGTTATGATATGAAAGAATTGTGTGGTCCTTAACTTCTTTTGAGTAGTATATGTTTGATGTCATGTAGAAAACCTGACTTGTTTCCATGTTCCTCATGGGTACAAGGGGCGGTGGGGTGGCCTAGTGGGTAAAGGTGTTCACTCATCATCATCATTCAAAGACCCGGGTTTGTTTCCCCACATGGGTACAATGTGTGAAGCCCATTTCTGGTGTCCCCTGTTGTGATATTGGTGGAATATTGCTAAAAGCGGCATAAAAACACACTCACTCACTCACTCACTCATGGCTACAATTTATCACCTTTTGTGTTGATTTAGTACACTGTCATGTTTAAGTCTCTGAAAAAGGAACTGGTAAACTTGCTAGAATGTCTTTGTATAGCCATACAAAAGAGTTGAGTGAAGTTTGAACTTGTAAGCCTAGCCTGGCTGTATTGTTGTTAGTTCATACCCTGGCAAGATGTTGACTTTAATTGTTCACAGTGTCTCAGAATCATTTGAGTCTAAACTTATCCTTCTACTTCGGTGTCAGTATATTACTCCATGTTAATGGGCTGTCCGAAATGCACCTTTCCCTGTATAGTTTGAATTGTGATAACATTTGCACAACACTTATAAAGCCTAAATTCAACTTGCGTGTGGGATACCTTTAACATTATACAAACTGACTTGGGCAAGCAGGCTGGTGCCAATTTGAATCCCTTGAGCCTGTCGTCGGCTACACTTACTAGGGTGATAGAAGTTGGACTCAGGCTTTAGCTTAGACAGCTGACAAGTAGCTCAAGTCGAGACTGGTTTCTTTTCCCCCAACTCATGTCAAGTGTTTTCATACAGATCGAACATTGACTTCAGATCAAACCCCATGGATTCAAGTAGGCTAACATCTCAACAAACTTTTCTCAACAAACTGTCACGATTTCTAAAAGTCCCATTCACACACTTTCTTGACCTTTTTGTGATGTATTTCTGTATAAACATATATCCTTTTCTATCTGTCTATCATCAATGCACCTATACCTCTCTCTTCCCGTTCATCCATCGCAAAAAAATGATTGTATTTGTCTATCATCCTGTCATTCATCCAACAAGGTGACAGTATGTCCTGTGTATCCTATAGCCATGGAACTGCTATCACCATGTTACACATGTTGCAAATATTTCTAGAGATACCTCAAGTTTTAATTTCAAGATATGATTCATAATGAGCTGAAAAAATACAATTATATGAATCACAACCCTACCTGAGAAATACCTGCAATCCTACTTTCCTTATTTGGAAAAATGATGTCCGTTTGAAAGGCATTCTTCTGTGCGTGGTCACGTGATGGAAATGTGGAGTGCTATTTTTGTCCTTGGTAATCCTGCAAGGAAGTATTTACAAAGTAGTGTAATCTTTTGACATCACAACACAAACCTAGCGGTATTCCTTTTGTTTAATAAAGACGGAACACATTTTTTTATTTGTTTAATAGAACCCACTGATCAAGTTTTTTCCGTATTGCTAGAAAAATAAGAAAAGAGCCACTGGAACAATAAACCAGGGTTAGAAACTAACAGTTTTTGTCCACTAGTCCTTATAATGATAACATATAGCAAAACGCTTAAAATGGGCCAATTTTTACTAGTCCTTAGGATACCTTTACTATTGGGCAGTTTGGTAAGGACTATAGGACTAGTGCCAATTTCTAACGCTGTAAATAATACAATGCTCCAAAGTTAAGTCATTTTGGCATTTAGATGTGATACACATAAGGAAGAAAATTTATGGATTTCAACATCTTTATTATGAGGAACACAACATTTCGGAGTATATGCTTACTCCTTCATCAGGTGAATGATAAAGGAGTAAGCATATACATGTACTCCGAAACGTTGTGTTCCTCATAATATAGAAGTTGACATCCATAAATTCTCTCCCATAGTTAAAATATTTCAAATAAGGGAGGATATTCCAAATACAATTCATTACTGTAATGAATGAGAAGGCCACATAGCCATTGGCTAATTCTCTGCTAACAGCAATTGGTGTGTTTCTGAAGCCCATTGAAGAAACGCTTGTAATGGCAGTGGATACGATGGACCAAAACAACAGAAATCTAGTTGTTTTTGTACAGTTTGAATGTACTGTTTGCCGTTTCTTGTTGCATTATGTGAAGTTACTTTCGTTTAACAATTGCGAAGTTCCTTTAACCTTATCAAGGGCTATGATAGTCATGATTGTAACACAGTGGGCGACCTGTTGCACTCTGCTCTCAACTTCGAAATTGAGAATTTCCGAGAATTTCCGGAAAGAAATAGCTTGTGTGCCTGACAAAACCACATGAACCTCCTTTTTATCCCCCGCCGCGCGAAAGCGCGAAGCGGGGGATATAGTATTCATGACCGTCCGTACGTCTGTCCGTACGTCCCACCTGTTTGTTGCCGCGATATCTCAAGAACTAAACACTGGATTGTCTTCATATTTGGAACTATGGTGTATATACAGACTCCGCAGACACCAGTCGGTTTTGGTGACCTTGATCCCATTTTCAAGGTCACAGCAGACAAATCTGCTTTTAGAGTTGGAAAACGGTGTTGCCGCGATATCTCAAGAACTAAACACTGGATTGTCTTCATATTTGGAACTATGGTGTATATACAGACTTCGCAGACACCAGTCGGTTTTGGTGACCTTGATCCCATTTTAAAGGTCACAGCAGGCAAATCTGCTTTTGGAGTTGGAAAACGGTGTTGCCGCGATATCTCAAGAACTAAACACTGGATTGTCTTCATATTTGGAACTATAGTGTATATACAGACACCGCAGACACCAGTCGGTTTTGGTGACCTTGACCCCATTTTCAAGGTCACAGCAGGCAAATCTGCTTTTGGAGTTAGAAAACGGTGTTGCCGCGATATCTCAAGAACTAATCGCTGGATTGTCTTCATATTTGGAACTATAGTGTATATACAGACACCGCATACACCTGTCAGATTTGGTGACCTTGACCCCATTTTCAAGGTCACAGCAGGCAAATCTGTTTTTGGAGTTGGAAAACGGTGTTGCCACAATATCTCAAGAACTAATCGCTGGATTGTCTTCATATTTGGTAGTATGGTGTACAGGCGGGGGATATTTCGTCACTCTGTGACAAATACTTGTATAATATGGGGGCACGGGTGGCCCAGTCGTCTAAAGCGCCGCGATTCGCTGTGCAGAGTTGCGTCCCTTGGACACACAAGAAACCTATGATCGTGGGTTTAAATCACGGTTTGCCCCGATTATGTTTCTCGTGGGTTTCACCGAAGTGGTAAATGTCTGATACCTGCGTCACTTCGGGCTTTCCTCCCACATAACGCTGACACGCCGTGATATAACTGGATACTGTTAAAAGCGGTGCTAAACCTAACTCACTCACTCACTCACTCACTCACTCACTCACTCACTCACTCACTCACTTACTCACTCACTCACTCACTCTTTTATGATACTTCTATCTTTGGTAAATCATCATTTCTAAGCATGACTAAATTTTTTGAGAATTCTTGATTGTTACCCTTGAGTACAAATTCCAGGGTTTTTTTCTTTTTCCCCCTCCTGCATCTATACATTTCAAACAAAACATTTCCTGTAAAACAAATATTGATTAATTTCATCTGTCCTATGTTTTTTGAAAAATAAACAGTAATTGTTTTTCTGTTTACATTACCATATGCGTAGGTGTGGTTGATCATGTTGATATTGTTTGTTCCATTTAGTTTTTCTTTCCTTCTTTTCTCTTTCCCTTCCACCCAGCCCTTACTTAATTTATCTGAGGGTTATTGTAGAAAAATCTGAAGAAATTAAGTTCATTAAGTTTAAGCTCTGTTAAGCTTTTTGAAAAGCAATCAGGCAAATAATTATCATCCCTGCAACGCCTTTTTCGTGAGGTAATAAAATGGTCAGTGCAAGATGTTGTTTCCGAACAATATTTCTTTACCAAACTTGGTACATAGATAGGTCTAGCAGTGAACTGGTGCCTTTTGATAGTTTTGGATTTTATGTTCGAGTTTCCATGGCAACAAATTGACTTGAGAATTGAAAATGAGAGCAGTGCTCGTTTCTGTAGCAGATCTTGAAAACCTTGCAATATTTCTTCACCAAACTTGGCACATAGATAATTGTAGTGGTGAACTGGTGCCTTTTGATAGTTTGGGATTTAAATTTATTTTTTTGAGTTTTCATAGCAACAAGTTTTACTTGGACAGAAAATGGTAGTGTTGCTTATATCAGGAGCTTGAAAAACATGCAATATTTCTTCACAAACTTGGCACATAGATAGGCCTAGTGGTGAAGTACCTTTTGATAGTTTGTGAAGTTTCATATGTGTATCCATGACAAGTATTTGCCATTGTGGGGATATCAATGACTTTGTTACACCCTGCCTTTCAAAGAAGACGTAAGAGGCAACTAACGGGATCGGGTGGTCAGGCTCGCTGACTTGGTTGATGCATGTCATCGATCCCAATTGCGTGGATCGATGCTCGTGTTGTCAATCACTGGATTGTCTGGTCCAGACTCGATTATTTACAGACCGACGTCATATAGCTGGAATATTGCCGAGTGTGGCGTAAAACAATAAACCAACCAACCTTTCAAAGAATACTCCTTATAGTTATAATGAGTTTAAAATTGCAAGTGTGGACGTGGGGAACATTTTCAGGTTCTTACAATTGAGAATCCTGAGAGCACTTTGTGGTGATTGTTGCCCTGATTGCTGCCTAAGTGTAATGTTGAAACTGTCTCGTGTTGCAGCTATGGAGTGGTGCTATGGGAACTGCTGACTGGGGAGACCCCGTACAAGGGCATTGATGCACTGGGTGTGGCATATGGCGTGGCTGTCAACAAGCTCACCCTGCCTATACCAAGCACCTGCCCAAATCTCTTTGCTGACCTCATGGCAGGTAGGTGATCACCATGAGCACAGGAAGCCATGAAGGATTCTTCCTTGTATGGAAGAGCATTGCTATTAATATTGCAACCAGGGCTTTGTGTTTATGATAAAACTGTTTCTAAGGCTTATTTATAGAAGTTACATGTCAAACTTGTCAGCTTTGAGATTTTTGTATTACATTTAGTTCAGTTATGTCTTGTAGAGTTGTGTCCCTTACAAAGTCAGGATAAATTGATTGTGGCTTTCTGATCCCAGATTCTGATCTGTGGTTTGTCGCTACCAGACATATTTTCCTAAATTTCACTGAGCGGTAAACTACCATCACATGTGCCACTTTTGAAAAGTACTGTCAGTGAATGCCTTCACGTCTTAGACTGACTTAGAACTATACCTACTATCCAACCTGCAGCTAGTCGATATGTTTCACAGCACACCATCATCACTTGCTATGAAATGAACTCTCAAGTACAATTGTTAATTGATCTAATACTAGTAATAGCATGCATAATTGCATGGTGTTCAGTGCATTATAAGTGATTATTACAAGATGATGATGGTGATTTTTATTATGTCTCTTCCCCCAAAGGGAGGGGAGACATATTGTTTTTGGTTACACCCCCCTTTTGCATTGGCATTTCCATCCTATTCCGAGCCGTAACTTGAGTACTGTTCAGTATCCTTCAACGAAACTTGATATATGCAGTGCCCATCAATTTTAAAAAGTTTATTTTTTTATGTTTCCATGGAAACAATTTCATCTTAGTCTCAAACAACCCTAGGCTTCGTTTCCGATCCATAACTTTCTAGCCATTTAATATTTTGCATGAAACTATACATGTGCACATGACCACATGCCTTTTCATAGTTTTCAATTTTATAATATTTCTTGTGTTTCCATGGAAACATTTAGCAGTCTCAAACAACAAGGGTTGTTTCCCGCCCAAACTCTATAGCCAATAAATCTTTTTGCATGAAGCCATTATCTTTCAAGGCTATTATAGTCATTTATTAGTTTTCATATTTACACTAACAACATGAACTATTGTATGAAAAAATAGGAGGATGTTTTTGAGTACAAATCTAGTTACTATTGTTAATATCATAATATTCCCACTCTCTTTGCATCAGATTGTTGGCATCAGGAGCCCCACGAACGCCCCACGTTCCAGGCCATCTTGCAGCGCCTGGAGGAGATTGCCAAGTCTTCCTTCATGAACACCCCTCAGGAGTCCTTCCACACCATGCAGGAGGACTGGAGGCAGGAGATCGAGCAGATGTTTGATGAACTACGCAGTAGGGAGAAGGTGGGATAATCACACTCCCTCATGAGGGCTGTAACTGCATGCTTTGGTGCAGTACAAGACATGTATTAGTAGTCATGTCTGAGAAAACGTAACTCTTGTCATGTTAAAGAGCTTTATGCCTTGTTCAAAGACGATGCAAGATTTAGGGTCATTGAGAGTTGTGTTTGTGTGCATGCAGGAGTTGCGGTCGAGGGAGGAGGAGCTGACGAAGGCAGCGTTGCAGCAGAAGATCCAGGAGGAGCTGCTAAAGAAGAGGGAGCAGGAGCTGGCAGAGCGAGAGATCGACCTGCTGGAGCGGGAGCTGAACATCCTCATCCTGCAGCAGGTCATGAACAAACCCACACCCGTCAAGAGGCATCGGAAAACACGGTCAAAGCTCAAGTCTAGTGGAGGCAGGATCATCAGTGAACCGTCAGGTAGGCTGTAGAGGAGATAGGGATCTGTGAGTCAAGTCTAGTAGAGGCAGGATCATCAGTGAACCATCAAGTAGGCTGTAGAGGAGATGGGAGTCTGTGACTCAAGTCTAGTGGAGGCAGGATCATCAGTGAACCGTCAGGTAGGCTGCAGAGGACATAGGGATCTGTGAGTCAAATCTAGTGGAGGCAGGACAAAAGTGAACCATCAAGTAGGCTGTAGAGGAGATAGGAGTCTGTGACTCAAGTCTATTAGAGGCAGGATCATCAGTGAACCGTCAGGTAGGCTGTAGAGGAGATAGGGATCTGTGAGTCAAGTCAAGTGTAGGCAGAATAAACAGTAACCGTCAGGTAGGCTGTAGAGGAGATAGGAGTCTGTGACTCAAGTCTATTAGAGGCAGGATCATCAGTGAACCGTCAGATAGGCTGTAGAGGAGATAGGAGTCTGTGAGTCAAGTCTAGTGGAGGCAGGATCATCAGTGAACCGTCAGGTAGGCTGCAGAGGAGATAGGAGTCTGTGAGTCAAGTCTAGTGTAGGCAGGATCATCAGTGAACCGTCAGGTAGGCTGTAGAGGAGATAGGAGTCTGTGAGTCAAGTCTAGTGTAGGCAGGATCATCAGTGAACCATCAGGTAGGCTGTAGAGGAGATAGGAGTCTGTGAGTCAAGTCTAGTAGAGGCAGGATCATCAGTGAACCATCAAGTAGGCTGTAGAGGAGATGGGAGTCTGTGACTCAAGTCTAGTGGAGGCAGGATCATCAGTGAACCGTCAGGTAGGCTGCAGAGGACATAGGGATCTGTGAGTCAAATCTAGTGGAGGCAGGACAAAAGTGAACCATCAAGTAGGCTGTAGAGGAGATAGGAGTCTGTGACTCAAGTCTATTAGAGGCAGGATCATCAGTGAACCGTCAGGTAGGCTGTAGAGGAGATAGGGATCTGTGAGTCAAGTCAAGTGTAGGCAGAATAAACAGTAACCGTCAGGTAGGCTGTAGAGGAGATAGGAGTCTGTGACTCAAGTCTATTAGAGGCAGGATCATCAGTGAACCGTCAGATAGGCTGTAGAGGAGATAGGAGTCTGTGAGTCAAGTCTAGTGGAGGCAGGATCATCAGTGAACCGTCAGGTAGGCTGCAGAGGAGATAGGAGTCTGTGAGTCAAGTCTAGTGTAGGCAGGATCATCAGTGAACCATCAGGTAGGCTGTAGAGGAGATAGGAGTCTGTGAGTCAAGTCTAGTGTAGGCAGGATCATCAGTGAACCGTCAGGTAGGCTGTAGAGGAGATAGGAGTCTGTGAGTCACGTCTAGTGTAGGCAGGATCATCAGTGAACCATCAGGTAGGCTGTAGAGGAGATAGGAGTCTGTGAGTCAAGGTTAGTAGAGGCAGGATCATCAGTGAACCATCAGGTAGGCTGTAGAGGAGATAGAAGTCTGTGAGTCAAGGTTAGTAGAGGCAGGATCATCAGTGAACCATCAGGTAGGCTGTAGAGGAGATAGGAGTCTGTGAGTCAAGTCTAGTGTAGGCAGGATCATCAGTGAACCATCAGGTAGGCTGTAGAGGAGATAGGAGTCTGTGAGTCAAGTCTAGTGTAGGCAGGATCATCAGTGAACCGTCAGGTAGGCTGTAGAGGAGATAGGAGTCTGTGAGTCAAGTCTAGTAGAGGCAGGATCATCAGTGAACCGTCAGGTAGGCTGTAGAGGAGATAGGAGTCTGTGAGTCAAGTCTAGTAGAGGCAGGATCATCAGTGAACCATCAGGTAGGCTGTAGAGGAGATAGGAGTCTGTGAGTCAAGTCTAGTAGAGGCAGGATCATCAGTGAACCATCAGGTAGGCTGTAGAAGAGACAGGATGAGTCTGTGAGTGTCACTAAACCATTAACTTTCAACATATATAAGTTTTGTCATCTTACACCAGATTTGTTGAATCTTATTGTCCTGTAAATTTGAAGACAGACTTTGATACGTAATAATTCCTATATATTTGATAATTTAGGTGCAAATTTATGTTTTTAACGAGGACATGGGCTTTTTCTTCAGGTTTTCGACACAACATCACTGTACAGAAGGAGGGCCTGGTACAAGAGAAACGAGGGATGTACGGTCCAAACAGTCCAGACAGTCCTCCAGCCTCCCCAGCTCATGTTTTTCCCGTCTCCGGCACCAGACTCAGGGCTATAGCATGTAATAATACACTGTGTCCTTGTCTCAGGGTCATTATGGGGCCCAATAGGACCAGCATGGGTTGCTGGTGACCTATATTCATACGCAGAATCTCTGTTGTTGCAAAGTTATATTGGTCAGTTTATGTTATTGCCATGAATAATCCTAATTGCGTTTGTTGTCTATATGTGTCATGTATGACTATGTATGCGATGTGTACTATATGGCTGCGGATGCGATGTTGCAGATCCTGTGGATGGTGTGAAGGGGAAGACGTGGGGACCAAGCTCAGTACAGAAGGACCGGCACCAGCGCTCTTCCATTATTTTCGCTGATGGCCGGTGGTCCAAGAGTGCTCCCAACTTGGAGAAGAGTCTCCGGGCTCTTGGTGGTGGACATTCCAACATAGGGGCCTTGAGTGAACTTTGTGAGTAATGTGTCAGATCAGTCACTTTTAGAAAAATAATATCAACGATCCATGTATTTATACAAGTCATAATCCATGCGCAGGAAGGGCGGTCGGGTAGCCCAGTGGTTAAAGTGTTCGCTCGTCACGCCAGAGACCCGGGTTCGATTCCCGACATGGGTACAATGTGTGAAGCCCATTTCTGGTGTCCCCCGCCGTGATATTGCTGGAATATTGCTAAAGCGGCGTAAAAACCATACTCAATCACTCACCCATGCGCAGGACTTTTTAGAGAAATTCATGCATAGTCATAGACCAACTGTTAGATCGTTATGGATCTTCGATTTTTCTTATTGATTCTCATTTACTTTGAAGCCCTACCTTTGATGTTTAAAAACTAATCGCTTAAAGTTATATGAACAGTGTTATGTACTCACCCTGACTGCTTTTGCTATACTGAACATACAGTCGTGCAATCATAGATGGATGATGACAGTGTTTGAAATAACTCAAGACTTTAGAAGCTGCAGGCCCTCATTTATAATATACCCTGCAGCTTATTGTGGCAAATAAATCGATACATAAATTTACAGCAGGCCATAAGGTCTCATACGAATTTGGAGCTACGGGCCTGACACAAAATCTACCTGCCACGTTCCTACGGGCAGGCGCATATTTCGAACGCTATGTTATGAACGTTTGTATGCAAACAGACCTGTCACCTCACATGACACTGAAATTGGTGAGAAGCACAAAAAGCACTCAATTACATTGTTTATTGTAAGCTATGTTGTGTGTGTCATTGTTTCCTACCAGCTGCAGTGAACCTGACCTGACAATAAACAGAGAAAAGGCAACACTTTATTAATGCAAGCAAGGGACACTCACATTTTTCGCATAAATTTCATGCTCTCATTAATTTCATGATTTACAGTTTCTTCTTATTTCTATGCAGGCAAGGTTTGAAGAAATGCTGCATTAAACTTCTAAGGTTTATTAATTTCTTGATCATGTGAAATAAATCGAAGTTGAAAATATTTATATATCAATTATGAGACCCAAATAATATTGATAATATTACTTCATAGTATGAATGATCTGTAGTTGTAGATGATGGTCGAAAATATTCTTTATGTTTACAAGTCTAATAATATGAAGATTAATATGATCTTAATATTAATGGTTAAAGTGGAAATCCACAAGAAAATGTCAAAAGTCTTTCCTGACATTACTGGTCTTGGACTTTCAAACTTTTTTAAAAAGTAATAATAATACTGTTAATCAAAAGTAAATTTGTGATGCACCAAATTGCAATTGCACCAAATTGCTCATTGCGCTTGTTGTAAGAGGCAACTAACGGGATCAGGTGGTCAGGCTCTCTGACTTGGTTGATGCATGTCATCGATCCCAATTGCGTGGATCGATGCTCATATCAATCACTGGATTGTCTGATCCAGACTCGTTTATTTACAGACCACCGTCATATAGCTGGAATATTGCTGAGCGCAGGGTAAAACAACATACAAACAAACAAACAAAGCTCATGGCGCTACATTATTATTACCCCGACGGATGGATGAGCATGCACTGGTTTCAGCTGCCTGGGGAGTACAGCATACAGTAGGGATAGATAGGACTGTACTTGGACCAACATAGAAAGGGTGCCTTATCCAACCCAGTGAGTTTTACACCAAAAGCTGTACACAGGTCACTGACTTGGACCCAAGAAATGTACTTAGTCAATCGCAAAAGTCAATAAGTCAAATAAACAGAACACAAATTGCTTATGCTGTGTGCTCACAAATCAACGAAACTGGCGGATGAACCATAACAACAACACAATACCGTTCATGATTGGAAGAATATATACGATCTGGCCAGTGAATGTCACGATAAGAGAAGTGCTTGATTCACTGACAATTGGTACAGAAAGTATTGTGCAAACATGTGAATCTTTGCTTAGCATTTCTATCGGTCAAAAGTCTGACTACTTAAACCAACCATCTGTCATCGATCAAATTTGATTGATCTATGACCGGTGACTAACGGCCATCTGAAACTCTGCATCATACTCTTAATATGGCTCTGCTCAAATATGTGGATATTCAAGGTCATAACAGGTCTCCTGCTCTTCACGGTTGTCATAGGTTTTGGTTTTGGTTTGGTTTGTTGTGTAACGCAGCACTCAGCAATATTCCAGCTATATGACGGCGGTCTGTAAATAATCATGTCTGGACCAGACAATCCAGTGATTGACATCATTAGCATCGATCCACACAATTGGGATCGATGACATGCATCAACCAAGTCAGCAAGGCTGACCACCCGATCCCGTTAGTCGCCTTTTACGACAAGCATAGTCACCTTTTACGGCAAGCATGGCCTATTCTACCCCGGAATTTATGGGTCGGTTGTCATAGGAACTGACTGACACAGGTTTAGGTCCAGGCATGATTGTTTACTCTATTAATTCTCAATCTCAAACTGCAGCAATAGAAACTAACAGTTTTACTCCACTAGTCCTCTACTAGTCCTTCTAATGATAACATACAGCAAAACCATCAATAAGGGCAAATTTCTACTCGTTCTTATGATTCCTTAACTATTGAGCAGTTTGGCATGGACTATAGGACTAGTGCCAATTACTGATGCTAGTACACCTGACTATTGGTCAAAGAGAGATTGGAATCTTCTCATAAATTTACAAATTCTTAATCTCAGACTTATTACACCTTAACTGTCAGTAGTAGAAGATAGATTGTAACCTTCTTATATGTCAATTCTGTCAGTTCTCCATCTCAGACTAGTACACCCTGACTATCAGTAGTAGAGTATAGATTCTAACCTCATGTATTTACAAACTGGGTCCATTCTCCATCTCAGACTAGTTCACCCTGACTATCAGTAGTAGCAGATAGACTGTAACCTTCTTATATATTTACAGATGATGAAGAAGATGAGTGGCCAGATTTTTCCAATGAGCAACGATACAAAAACATTCCACAGTCTCCAAACAGTGTCCCGGAGTCGTCCAACACTCTAAAGCGTAATGCTGTGAAAAAGAAAAGTGACAGTTTTCTGTTAAATGCAGCTGTTATACTAGCTGCAGTGGCAACTGGTTTTGATATTAGGATCTCAAACACCTCAGCTATTCACCCGAATCTTCACGGTCCTACGGAGGACGAGAGAAATGTGAAGAAGAGGGACTCCTTCATTCTCAACAGAAGAGATGCATATTTAGGGGCTGTGCGTGACTCTTTCATCGAGCCTGAAGGCATGTTTGGGAACCACCCTTACACGAATGCCTCAGGTTACCGCCATACATATCATGGTGTGCAGACGCGGCAGAGACCAAGTGTTCAGAATAATGAAAATTTTGATAGGCCAATACATTTCACAGAGCAGGATGGGGATAGTCCGGACTCGCAGACTACAAGCACAATAGGATCAAAATCGTCTCCGCACCGGTTGTCTTATGCAGAAAGTGATAGCACAGGGGTGTCTGCAACGCCGTCACAAGCTGATCGCAGCATTATATATCAGAGGCAGATCTCAGATGGCAGTACATACGAATCAAGTCGGGCATCTCAAACCCCGCAAAGACGGTCAGTAACTTTCGAGGACGATTTCACCCCGGACAAGCATGTGGCTACTTACACACACAAACGAACTCCTTCAAATACCTCAAACACTTCCAATACGCCACTGGACTTTGAACCACGTTCTGCAAAGTATAATCCTGACAAGCGACCGTCAGACAGCCAGAAAGGCCAGCCAGTTCCTCCACGTCGCAAGCCCAGTGGCGAGGCACCTCAGAGACCCACCACACTCGAAGTGGGATCCACCTTTCGTTCTCCAACTCAGCAGCAAGGTTCTGCGCTGAAGTATGCCTCCCCCGTCAATACGGGAGGTAGCCGGGATTCCCCGCGAGTGTGGGTCACCCCCTCTGAGACTGCCCCCGACAATGGCTTCTACTCAACCCGCTCCCGCCTGTCTCCGGGGAACACGCCCCCTCACATCCGTCATCAGAAAACCCTCCTAGACATTGACATGGAGGGACAGAGTCAGGACAAGCGGGAGGCGCTTGTTAAACCCAAACCTCTCAGTACAAAACCCACTATCAGAGACCTAGAGAAAGAATTTGTCTGGAAATGATACACAGTATATTTTAGGCTTTAAGAAATGTCAGTTTGCAGTAAATTGAAGTTGTCCATACCAACTATTGCCATACACTCTTTTAAGACTATTTTAATGCCAGTTAGTTTTATCATTGATATCCATTGATATTTCTCTACACAAGACATTGGTAACTCTTTCTCTTCAAAGTGAAATATATAAGCCAATTTCTTTATCATGATTCTCTTGTCCAGTTAGGTTTCATATCCAACCACACTCTAGATAATGAAGGTATACGTGAGGTTTTCCAGCTGTGTAAATGTGGTTCATGTTATAATGTATTATTCTAGGGTATTTAGCATATTAATTTGAGCAAATAAGAGGTGCTCTCTTTTTTCGAAGATTTACCAAGCATGTAAATCTCACCTTACAAGTGCTATTTGTTTCTGAGAGGTGTACGTTGATATTACAAACTATATCATATTACAATATATGTCTTGTCCAAGCTGAACTGGGCCTGTTCGTCACGTCCGTTTCTGTGTTGATTTTAGATTAGTGTCTCAAGTCTACTATTCCTCGTGTAATCAGAACTGTTTGTAACACTATACCCATTACGTTTGTCATCTCATAGTCCTTCTCTAAAGTGAACAAAAAAAATTCTTTGTACGTGTTTCTACTTTCGTATGATGTTCCCCATGTTGATAATCATCATCATCATCATCACAGATATGCATTTATACATGTAGGAGTGTAATTGTCAACTAATTTATATATTCTGGTAGTTCTCTTAAGTCAATTGTAAGCCTTTGATTTTAACTGGAAATTTATTTATGAAATATTTATATAATGCACGTCAGGAGTACAAACTGCACACTCACAGATAATCCACAATTGTCACTGTTTGAATGTGATACTTGATAGTCACAGGCTTACAGTTAACTTACCAGTAGAAACATGTGCAATACTCCCGAACAGTGTTGTGCATTCGATTGGACCAAACGATGTATGTTTTGAGAACACAACATGAAACTGAGATAAGTCATTGCCTCGTTTAAGTGAAGTACGCTGTGTCTCAGGCTCACTGGGTGTGTATATTCATTGTATATCCACATAGATTATGCAAAAAATCAAATGAATCTCTTCTTTTGTATATACATGTAACATATGCTATTATAGTCTCAACATGCTGCATTTATGTGTAAGCTGATTCCTAAGTTGATATATGCAAACACTATCGAGAGCCTGAAAGTACAAAAGCTGAGTGACTGGCCCATGTTATGTCACTGACTGTGTAGGATGTTCTCACCGCCATGCCCAGAATTGACCTCTAGAGGCATTTCGAAGTTGGAGTACTAAGCGATGTCATCAGTCATTTGAACAACTTGATAGTATTCAGATAAGTAGTAAGAGTGTTTTTTCCACTTGTAGGATCTTTTATATAAATTAGTCTCTCTTTTTTTTATAGTTTTTTCTTAAGAAAATTTAAGGGACTGTCGGGTAGCCTGGTGGTTAAAGCGTTCGCTTGTCACGCCGAAGACCCGGGTTCGATTCCCGACATGGGTACAATGTGTGAAGCCCATTTCTGGTGTCCCCCGCCGTGATATTGCTGGAATATTGCTAAAAGCGGCGTAAAACCATACTCACTCACACAAGAAAATTTAAACTAAAATAGAGATAAGAAAAATTAATATTTATTATATTTTTTATGAATATTATTTTAAATAGATTCTAATATTTTGTTCATTTTGTAGTCAGTCTTGTAACATAGGACTATGAGGTGTGTATACAAATCTGGTCATCACTGTGAGAACAGCTACACAGATCTGTGCGAGATGCAGCGCAGACAGAAACTGTTGAAGACTTACACATGTCTGGCAGCTATACTCACTCCCATCTGGTTCAGATGGTTTACATAATATATACCAAAATAAATAACTATATACTCTCCCGTCTTGAGCCTGGCAAGAGAGGACGATAGTACTGTGCTGTGATGGAAGTTGGTGGCAAATATGACAGTAGATGTTGATGACTTTTCAGTTGGTGATAAGTAGACAAGGAGCAAGTCTAGAAGCAGGAAAATGGTTTTGCCTGATCTATTTTCAGCTGTGATCATCAATTTGTGCCTTGTAGCTGGTACAACGGTAGTCTGTGCTTGTCGTGCACACGGTGATTTTATTAGCATTGATCAAGTTATTTTATTATTGTACATATCAAGACAGCAGAACTGGACATGAGCAAGTAAATATTACCTGTGTAACCAAAGAAATCCTGTCCTTCATCCTTTCTATCTGAAATGAGAGATTTTTCAGGATTTGATATTAATCACAGTTAACAATTTGATCTCGAAAAGGACATAATCAATTCTATAATGTTACTCACACAGTATATTTTATTTACACAATGAAAATAATGCAATGTTTGCAAAGTGATAGAAAATATTTTGTCATTGCTTCTCAATTTTTTTTTCAAGTCAAAGGTCAAAGCAAGTACTGCTGAATTAAGCTGGTAGCTTAATAATTGTATAGAAATAAACTCATTTTCACAAAGTGTACATTTATGGAAAATATAATATTATATTTAATTGTAGAGTAGCAAAACAGCAGTAGCAGCAACCAAAAATGTATTCACATATCTAGATATTTTATATGCTGACAGTTTTTTGTGTATGTCCAAAATTGACCAAGTATAGTAACCCCGTATGGTAGCAGTGGGCCTCCACTGTGCGTGTATGTTGTCTGTCGGGTAGATTTACAAAATCAAACTTAAGTCTTGTAACAGCTGGCATTAATGCATTAATGAGTACCTGGTTTCTATAGGCTGTCGTTACTGTTCCCTACCACTCTGGATAGGTTCGTCTGTACAGTGAGAGAAAGGACAGTTCTATAGCATTTGTTGAGTACATTCATGATGGACTCGATCTCCCATTGTGAAATACACTTTGTAGAGTTTCTGTGAGTATTTGGAGGCATGGCACAGCCAGGACCTGAGACAGTGATAACAGGATGGAGACATTTGTAGAAAGGAAGTTAGATAGGAAGTAAAAACAGGATCTGTTTAAGTATTTTCCTGCAATCATATGTAAGCTCTGGTAATTTATACAAAATTACAATGTAAATGGATTCAAATTTTCTGCGATTGGTCAATGATTCTAAAGTGTTGAAACTATTTTGTACAGTTATTAATTGATATTAATTTGGGACACATTGCTTATAGCACTTCCAAATGTGTTTCCGTAACCATTCTTTTCAAACAAATTTGAACTGTTTATTAGATACTATTCCCTGACAACAAGTTTTCTACAGTCTCCATCTGAGGTGTTTGCGTACATATTTAATTCAGTAAAGGTTCCAGTTTCAGGACTCGGTTAATGTTGTAATCATGTGATTGGATTTGTTGAATGTGGTATAGTGTGAATATTTGCGACATATCTTTTGTTATTTTACTGTTGTTAACATATCACATCAATACAGCTAGAAGTGTGTTCTTAACAGATTTTAACTTGAGAATGTACATGCACTTTTGAAGATTTTAACTCATGTGATAGTAAGGCCTTCATGAAGTAGTTGCATAAGTAATATATGGAAACACTTATCTTTACAATTTGATTACCTTACAAAACAACATAGAATCTTTACAAATGGTATTTGTACAAACTTAAGATATTAAGGAAGAAAAACATATTACATTTTGTACACAAAAAAATAAGGTACCATCAGCTCAAGATATGACATGGTTTGATTTAAGTGAAATACTGGTTATGCTGGAACAAAGTCAGGTCGTATTCCCGGTACCGTATTCCCCGGCAGTGGCACTAGATAGTTGTGTACTGATCATGTGAACAAGAAATTACATTATGACATTATATTGCTCCCCTGGTGATTGTTATGTTTGAGTTGACAGTATGTTTTTTTGTCTCTGCTTGCTATAGACTTGAGTGATGGAAAAGTTTCGCTTCTACCATGAAGTTGTCCCAGCTGAGAGTACTTCAGTAGAACGTCAGTGCTGTTTAGTCATGGGGTATTCTCTTGTCTTGGCAAGTAGAGGTGTTGGGTACAGTGCTCTCTTCACAGCTTTGTTTCTTCAGATCATATGCCATCTTTGGGAGATCCCTTCAGTCACCAGGGTTCTTATCTCTAACCCACTAGCTCGAGTCAGTTTGACTCCTGTTATTGCTAAGGGCAAGGAGAATTTCAGGCTTCTCAGAGATGTCATTTTTTACGTCTTTTTTGGTGAGTAAAATTACAGGTTAAGTTCCATCAGTGCCTCACCAATGTCGGAGATGGTGTTGGTACAACCAAATCTGAGTCATTTTATTTTGGCTTTAAAAACCACAACAGAAACTAGGATGACATATTTCATTGGGAACAATTTGTTTTCCAGAGACACTTAAGAAACTTATTCATTACTGTATGTTAAATTTATTGATTTGCTAGGCAAAGATTGAGGTTGTGGAAAATAATATTTGAACGGGTAAAGTTCAGCTGTAAGAAGGGGATCTCCAGCCAAGTCATATTCATGATCATTTTGGTGCCTGTTGTATGGCAAGTTGTCCTGAAGTGTTTTTGTGTGGAGAGCTACTGTACCCAATGCAGCGAGAAACACTCTCTTGTTACACGGTCACAGCCACTGGGTTCGCACTCGGGAGAAGTGTGTCCTGGATGTGTTAGCATGCAATGTCTGTGACAAAGAGATGTACATTTTCTATTATGCTCAAGTATAGCTCTTTTTGTACTTAACACACTGGTTGGTTGAAACTGACGACGTCAAACTCCACAGTTTGATAATACTTCCCCTTTTGAATACAAGCCCACCGAAGGGAGATGAACTGCGCTGGTCGCATGGTCTCGCTTGATTTTGGTGGAATAACTTCCATTGTATTTTAATCCTTTATCAGGCTTCAATTGTTTGAATTACACGATCAGCCAAAAGCATTTTTACATTTCCAGATGCAAAATTGTGAGTTAATGTCTTGTCAGTCCTATGTTGTGTTATGTTTCTTTCTCAAAGTTGTGTTAGTGTTGTGTTTTTAAGAACGGAGTAAAAGCATACTTTATCTTGCCAAAATGTTAAGTATGTCTTCCTTTCAACTACTGCAAAGAAAATCATTTCAGCCAACCAAAGAATGTAAATGGCAGATGTACTAACATTATCATTGTTTTTAGGTGTATTTTAATTATTGCTGTAACACTTTCAGTTGTTTTTTTTCTATTTGGTTTGTACTGTAAGACTGTAATCAGTAAGTTGGTTCTTGTAGAGAAACTTTCCTGTATTTCGTCTGTGAATCATTTCCGTTGGCTGACTTCCACAGGTACAGTATTTTGTCAGTATAGTGGGTAATAGTCTCATGATGTGAGACTTGACAATACTCCTGAAGATGTGTCCAGGTTTAAGAATTATCATGGAGACTGTCGGTAACCATGGGAACCTCTGCTGTGCCATAGAGGCAAATGCGAAGTCATTAATTATTCATCATTCTCACTGAAATCACTGGATGTAACAATGGGATTTGTAAAATATTACCAAACTTGACATCAACGTAATGAGTAAAATAAGTTGACCATACACAGACATTATTAGTATTATTGAAGCATATGAATCGTGCACATAAAAAAAGTAAATCATTTGGTGTCCTGTATTCTACAAAATTAACAAAGAATTGACTATTTTTTGGCAAATTCAAATTGGTTCCCCGGATTATTTCCATTCCCTTTTTTTTTTTTACATGCTTCCCCCTTCTCCAAGAAGCTATACCTGCACTTGCTGACCCTTCACTCTCCCGACCCAAAGTTGTAGTTTTTGTTCATGTGCTAACTTGAGATTTCACTGCAGTGTGAATTATTTCATTCTAAAACAATAGGTTTCTTGAAACTTTACTATGAGAGTCTATTCCTAGGCAATTGTCGGCCACAGTTTCATCAGGCAATATTTCCCTCTATGGTGTAGTGGTGAAACCATGGATACGGACGAATCAATGAACAGCATATGCCTTAACTGACCTCCATCAGTATGTCAGTAGCAAGTGCCTTGAAACCATCCTAGCATTTTTTCATATCATCAACGGCATAGTTTTATATTCAACTGTAAAAAGCTTTTTCATATACACTATAATATACCTCAGAGTAAGTGTGAGTATTATCCCATTTGTGCATCATGCTAGATCCCCCAATGCTATCCTGTAGGAGAGATTAGACTGTCGCTGTATCCAAGCCCTCGTTGCTGCCGCCGCCGTCGCTGTCGCCGCACACCTTCATCATGATTAGCTCCTGCTGTGTATTGCGACACATTTAACTTATCTCCTCATGAAATTGTTGACAGTACTTTGCTGTAAGAATGGTCCTGGCTGAAACTGGCTACCTGATCAAACTACAGCCGACTCCAAGTGTACGATTGTATTAAGAACTATATTTACCACAATATATTTTATGTATGTGGAGCATGGGAATTTGTACAGAAAAAAATTGAAATAAATAACTATTTGAGCAATGTTTCTGTCTTTTGTGATCTATGATTGTTCTTTGTACTCTTATCTCTCTACAAGACATCACATTCAGCATAGGTCCCAACAGAGGATGTGTGGAAATTACTGTTTCATGAAAACTTTTTTTCCAATGTTTTCTGGAAATTGAACAAAGTATATTAACCATTTAGCTGCGCAATATGCATTGAGTTTTGTTCAAGAAAATCTTTTTGGTGAAGTTTTGAGAGATTTTGGTATAAATTTGGAAAGAGAACCTTAAGCCTATTTTTTTTTAAACAAAGAAATACTTGAATATTTTCATTGATTATTGTGGAAGAATTCCTGGACTTCATGTGGACAGGCCAACATCTGGTACCCCAGCTTGACCCACACCCATCTTGAACCAATCCCCATAGATATAGTCGGGGTTGCCCGGTTTGGTTGTCATTGGTGAGGATAGTTGTCCCTTGACTGCTAATCGGCTCCTAACATTAAACATCATGATACCTCAACAGTGGCTTCCCTTGCTTTTCAGCCACTGGGCCAAGAAAGGCCTCCTAGATTCCCTCCATGCATGGCTGTCACTTGCATCCCTTGTCAAGTTGCCATTGGCAATGAGAGATGGCAGGATTGGTGGCAAGAGTAGATGGACACCTTTGTCCAATGGTGAAGGACTTTGCCTATTAAATCACGAGAGTTATCTTTGCATAGCTCTAGTAATTCTTTCCTCAGTATTTATTATTTGTATGACTGACTGTGGTAATTCCTGCTTGGAGGAATGTAGTGTAAACCTGTGAAGTATTGATGTTTCTTGGCCAAGACTCAGCATATTATGTAATAACAACCAAGGGGGCTGCCTACATAGAATAGGTCTTCAGCAACCCATGCTTGCCGTAAATGGCGACTATGCTTGTCGTAAAAGGCGACTAACGGGATCGGGTGGTCAGGCTCGCTGACTTGGTTGATGCATGTCATCGATCCCAACTGTGTGGATCGATGCTCATGATGTCAATCACTGGATTGTCTGGTCCAGACTCGATTATTTACACACCGCCGTCATATAGCTTGGATATTGCTGAGTGCGGCGTTAAACAACAAACAAACAAACAAACATAGTCACAACTACTATAAAAATTACCCTCAGTAACTTTGGACTGAGAAGCATCAAAGAAACACAAAATCTTACCAGTTCAATCACCTATCCTTGGGTTACCTAACCTTATAATCAAGGTTTATGACATAAAAGTATATACCCCAATCGATTCAGTTACAGTTGGCAGCCTTGCCTTAATTACCAGATACGACATTATAAACACCATAAAATTCCTGTGAATGCCTTGACCACATGACTAAAGAGGTTATCCCTGTCAGTAAGATGACACCGTAATGATGTCTTCTGTGGAATTCATGCCCCATTACATGTACCTATTTATATTGACAGAGTGTAATAGTTCTGGAGTTCGAGGGTAAATAATCTAGTTGAAGGCTATGGCCTTGAGTGATGGGTTTATCAAAAACAGTCACCAGGAGTGACAAGACATGGTATATAGGACGTATCCCAGACATGTCTCAACACCAGAGTTTCAAATACAAACGACTTCCTCCGTTGTCTAGTGGTAGAGCAGAAGGCCCGGAGTTCGAATACTAGCTGCATCATACCAAAAGACGTTAAAAGATGGTACTCGTGGCGCTCAGCATTAAGGGGCTAAAAACAAGGACTGGTCGGCTCGGAGTCAGTGTACTGCATCTGAGTGGGGTACTCATGTTTGACTGCGGCATGGTATCTCAGTCGGCTATCACTATAAGTCGACATCAGTCCGTAGCACGCACGCACACACCTGTATAAGTGCAATAAACTTTAAATGCCAAGCCAAACCCCATTTCACCTCACCTCAAAAACCAAAAATTAAATGCCTGTGTGGACAAATTCCAGATAAACTCTAAAGAAGCACCAGATGAAGACTGCCCTGTAGAGATATCAATCTTACTACACACGACCAGTTGGCTAATGATTCCATTAATACTCAAGTGATTTTGTGAGATAAGGTTCCCATAATGTTGCTATTAGTTTAGTTCAATTTCAGCGAAAAATATATTTTTCCCAACTAAAGTGAGTTTGGTTTGACAAGTATCTCAGTCATAAATCACAGTGTTGGCTTGAGTGAGTGAGTGAGTGAGTATGGTTTTACGCTGTTTTAGCAATATTCCAGCAATATCACAGCGGCGGACACCAGAAATGGGCTTCACACATTGTACCCATGTCAGAAATCGAACCCAGGTCTTTGGTGTGACGAACGAATGTCTTAACTACTCAGTTACCCAACCGCCCCAGTGTTGGTTTGAAGTGGGAAGAAAAAAGTGATGCAGGACTTGGATGTTTCCTACTTTGGTGAAGCCAAAAGCACAGGTATGGTGCTGGCGAACCTAGAAACAACAAGTATTTGTCACAGAGTGACGAAATATCCCCCGCCTGTACACCATAGTACCAAATATGAAGACAATCCAGCGATTAGTTCTTGAGATATTGTGGCAACACCGTTTTCCAACTCCAAAAACAGATTTGCCTGCTGTGACCTTGAAAATGGGGTCAAGGTCACCACATCTGACAGGTGTATGCGGTGTCTGTATATACACTATAGTTCCAAATATGAAGACAATCCAGCGATTAGTTCTTGAGATATCGCGGCAACACCGTTTTCTAACTCCAAAAGCAGATTTGCCTGCTGTGACCTTGACAATGGGGTCAAGGTCACCAAAACCGACTGGTGTCTGCGGTGTCTGTATATACACCATAGTTCCAAATATGAAGACAATCCAGTGTTTAGTTCTTGAGATATCGCGGCAACACCGTTTTCCAACTCCAAAAGCAGATTTGCCTGCTGTGACCTTGAAAATGGGATCAAGGTCACCAAAACCGACTGGTGTCTGCGGAGTCTGTATATACACCATAGTTCCAAATATGAAGACAATCCAGTGTTTAGTTCTTGAGATATCGCGGCAACACCGTTTTCAAACTCTAAAAGCAGATTTGTCTGCTGTGACCTTGAAAATGGGATCAAGGTCACCAAAACCGACTGGTGTCTGCGGAGTCTGTATATACACCATAGTTCCAAATATGAAGACAATCCAGTGTTTAGTTCTTGAGATATCGCGGCAACACCGTTTTCCAACTCTAAAAGCAGATTTGTCTGCTGTGACCTTGAAAATGGGATCAAGGTCACCAAAACCGACTGGTGTCTGCGGAGTCTGTATATACACCATAGTTCCAAATATGAAGACAATCCAGTGTTTAGTTCTTGAGATATCGCGGCAACACCGTTTTCAAACTCTAAAAGCAGATTTGTCTGCTGTGACCTTGAAAATGGGATCAAGGTCACCAAAACCGACTGGTGTCTGCGGAGTCTGTATATACACCATAGTTCCAAATATGAAGACAATCCAGTGTTTAGTTCTTGAGATATCGCGGCAACAAACAGGTGGGACGTACGGACGGACGTACGGACGTACGTACAGACGGTCGTGAATACTATATCCCCCGCTTCGCGCTTTCGCGCGGCGGGGGATAATCACACATGTGAACCCACAACCATGGGTTTCTGGGACAAACTCTAGACTGCTGTTTTCAGGATGCCTGGGCAACTTGCGTTAAAAAACATAGTATGTCAACTTGCATTTCAACAAGGAAATATAGCAAATAACAATCTGAAAGTCTAAAATCTAAAATGATCCACCATGTCCTTCAGTGACTGTGACTCAGGAACAATTCCATTATATAACATCTAGTAAAATTTAAGATTAATAAACAAAGTCAATTCTTAAAAAAATACAGCTTTGTTCAGATATACATTCCACAATAAAACAAAAAGTATTAAATATTTGGATGATTTGAAAGTTAATGTCAGGGGTTGTTGAACTGTCAACCATACGTATATAGGCTCTTATTGATAATGGGAACATGCTTGAAATAAATTAAATTTCTGTGTCGACCTAATACAGTTATTCCAAACATACAAGTCAAGAAGAAAACTTGACTTTCTCCGAGTGCAAACACATATATGCTATTGTACAGAAGTAGAACTGATTGCCTATCATATATCTAAGATTGTCAACACTAAACAGCCTACATAAATCTCTTATCTGTGCTAGTCGTGTTGGGCTATGATAGGTAGAGCTTTGTTTGTCCAGCGACGAGGTCAGGGAGCGGGGCAGTGTTTACACTAGAGACATCTCCTTCAACTCACTGTAGATAACCCCAATACTCTACAAACACACTTATCTCCCCCCATCCCCTCCCCCTAGAGGTGCTGGACAGGTCAGTCAGTACACCTGGATCTAGGTCACCAACACAATGCATTCTGTTCATCAGGAGAACTACACATACTGCACTGTCAGCTACCCTTGGAAGGTATAAATAAATATGCAAGCCAGCATAAGGCCTGACAGGTTTTTGTCTTGCCCAACATGGCAAGACGCAACAGTACCACGGGTACAGAAGCTCACCTTTATTCAGTTTTGGTTTGGTTTGTTGTTTAATGCCGCACTCAGCAATATTCCAGCTATATGACGGCGGTCTGAAAATAAACGAGTCTGGACCAGACAATCCAGTGATTGATATCATGAGCATCGATCCCCGCAATTGGGACCGATGACATGCATCAACCAAGTCACTGAGCCTGACCACAAATTTGATATTTAGGAGGAAAACTCCTTTTTGCGTTCCAGTGACAAGAAATGGCTCAGACACGGTTCATTGCCACGGAATATCACACTCCCGGTACCATTCAAATGATGCAAAAACTAAGGCGTATCACTCATCAATTTCATTACAATATTGATGCATGTTAGGTTAAAACGTCTAAAATGTACATATTCATATCCATGTTTAGTCCAGGTGAAGAAGTTCAGAGAAGTTCATATTTATTTGATGTTAAGTTGAAACGTGTATAAACATATTTTTATTCCGACTGAAAATTGGGATTGGTAAACAAGACAAAGCTTATTTTGATATCTTTCCCTATATATAAGTCAAGTAACAGAAGAAAGGCAAGGTGTACACATTATAACACCAGATGTATCTTGGTGGTCAGTTATCAAGCATAATCAACAGTGTCCGGTCTTGATAGAATGGTGGGATTATAGACAATATATATCATGTGTTTAGAGTATCAAATAAGTTTAAATCTACCAGAATTTGTTATGAAAGTATAGACAGATAAAAGAATTTCTTGATATAATTCAGATGATAGGCCTTCGCATCCGTTTAGTATTGTATAAATATCATATCCTTTTAGGTAAAGGATAATAAATTGCTTTTTATTTGATCATAATTGTGACAAAGAGTTAGTGAGTGAGTGAGTATGGTTTTATGCCGCTTTTAGCAATATTCCAGCAATATCACGGCGGGGGGACACCAGAAATGTACTGCACGCATTGTACCCATGTCGGGAATCAAACCCGGGTCTTCGACGTGACGAGCGAATGCTTTAACCACTAGGCTACCTGACAAACAAACAAATGATGTTGCGGGTCTTCATAGTGACAACGAGGGCAGCTTGGGCTGTCAGTTATAAATCTTTTGAATGTGTGTCTGTTTAGCCTGGTTAAGGTCACTGCACCCAAGTCTGTGGCAACAGTGGATGATGAGCTTTAATTTGTATTAAAGAAATGTTTGTAATTGTACGTGCATGATAACACATTTCGAAAATTTGAATATGAGCCATTTGATTTAATTTTTTTCTATCCATCAAATAACTTTCAAACCATTTTAATAATGATCCTTTAATACCATAACTATCTAGCGTGTTTACTCATAACTAATAACGTTAAAATGTTTAAAATGTTAAAATGTCCATATTCATAACAATCTTCAGGTTTGTTTTGATCTTGCTAAGAGCTTTATCAATTATCACAACTAATCTATTGATTTGGCACCTGGTTACCAACAGCAAAATTGGTGTTCGGCTTTCCCAGAACTATCTGAATTTTTTAATTTGGCGTTCCCGGCTCATAACCCACTCAGAGATAGAATGCTGACTCTCGGGTAGACCAGTCCTTGTTTTTGTCCCCTTAATGCCAAGTACTAGGCAGAGCAACAACAAGTACCATCTTCTAATGTCACTTGGTACTACACGGACAGGGCATAAAACACATTCTTTCACTTCCCGGGCAGAGCGTATCCACTAGACCATGGAGACTGTCCAATTAAGGGGTGAAAAAGGGCAAAAATTGTCATTTTGTATAAATGACATAATACCCAATACCTGGAGTCTCCGAACATGTGTTGAATGACCTCATATTTGTAGTACATGTTGTATATATTGACATATTCCCCTAGTATCTATGTCTCCACTCAAAGTCATGTGAAGGGTTGACACAGTGGACAATATACAAGGGAGGGAGGCTGTAAAGGAGGACCAGACGTACAAAGCCACAGTGAAGGGATGAGAGAGGGAATACACTGTCATTTCCCCATGCAGTTGAGGAAGGGGGAGAGAAGGGATTCAGGTGTTGTAGCGGATCCTGCAAGACACAATAATAGATAGTCTTTGGTAAAGATGCAACACATTTCCTGCTCCTTAGCATAATGAATAAATGGAAGCTGATCAAAAAGAAACAGATTGACAACATATAATATATTGAACACACGTAGGGACTTTAGATATTTTAAAAGAAAGCTGAGAGAGTGAGTGGGTGAGTTTGGTTTAACGCTGCTTTTAACAGTATTCCAGTTATATCGTGGCGTGTCAGCTTAATGTGGGAGGAAAGCCCGAAGTGATGCAGATCTTAGACGTTTACCACTTCGGTGAAACCCACGAGCACGGGTATGGTATTGACAAACCTAGAAACATAATAGGGGCGAACCGGGATTCGAACCCACAATCATAGGTTTCTGGCGTGCCCAAGGGACGCAACTCTGCACAGCGAATCACGGCACCTTAGACGACTGGGCCACCCGTGCCCCCGAAAGCTGAGCGATTTAGATCTGATAAATTAGTGTACCATTTGAATTGTGAGTACTTTTTAATTTGATTAATCTAAATGAAGAGACTGCAATTCCATATATATTCATACAAACCAAAAGGGACTCCAGCACTATTTGTGTTTCTTTGTATTATACAAGCAAAAGTCAATAAACTGTTTGCCTTGTCTGGAAGGACAGGCGTTTCTAGTTGAATATCCTATCATAAAATCTCAATTTAATGCAGTTTGCAATCCTATTTCATAAGTACTATCATAATAATCTGGGCTAAGCATATCACCAGTTGACAGCATGAACATCGAACAACATTATCACAATGAAGCACTATCAGCAATGTGCCCATCCTAATTAGTTCACTCTCTAAGACAGACATAGGATACTGGGGACCTATTCTAACCCAGATAAATTTCTCATGGTTGCCATTATCAGGTTGTAAGATGAAAATTTTTGTTATGTTTATACATGTATAGCTACTTAGCTAGTATTGTAAATGTTGATACTTGTCAAATTGGGGGGCACGGGTGGCCCAGTCGTCTAAGGCACCGTGATGCGCTGTGCAGAGTTGCTTCCCTTGGGCACGCCAGAAACCTATGATTGTGAGTTCGAATACTGGTTCACCCCGATTATGTTTCAAGGTTTGTCAGCACCATACTCATTATGTTATATGTTGGAACGTCAGTTACTCTTGTAATGTTCAGGGGGCACGGATGGCCCAGTTGTCTGCAATTCACTGTGCAGAGTTGCGTCTCTTAGGCACGCCAGAAACCTATGATCAAGGGTTCGAATCCCACTTAACCCCAATTATGTTTCTAGCTTTGTCAGAAGCATACCCATGCTTGTGGGTTTCACCAAAGTGGTAAACATCTGAGACCTGCATCACTTCGGGCTTTCCTCCCCCTGACATGCCGTGATATAACTGGAATACTGTTAAAAGCACTGTTAAACCCAACTCACTCACTCACTCACTCACTCACTTGTCAAACTACAATACATAACATATATCGTGATACATCAATAATACAGTGTAGTTTATTGCTCCTAATGGTATTCATAAACATTTCCAGGATTCTAGTACCAAAACACTGCCACACAAACTCTGTACTAATGGCACAGTAGGTGTATAGATCAATAAGTTTAGTTTTCATGTTCACCAACATCACACCGAGTAACTGCACAAAGGGAGATAATATTAAAAGGGAGATAACTTCCAGTTCATCATTAACCTCCTACACAACCACCATCTAGAACATGAAGAAGTGACTGGGGGAAATCATAGCAATATGACTGAATCAGTATGTGCATCATTAACTCTGCAAATACACTGTTACTATGGCTACAAGACTCATAAACTCCATGTCACAGATTCATTTAAAATATATATCTTCTAATACTCACAAAGTGAGTTGAACTTGCATTGTCCCTTAAATTAAAACTTAAAACAGTTGTACAGGACTAAATCAGTTTACAGGAATATATCAGCGTAGAGAAAAGTAGCTGTTCAAAGAGTTTGAACTCAATGTTATTGTAAACTTCAAATAGAAACAAAGCCACAAATAGTTACTTGGTCAAAACCAAATAGGAAGAGTAGATGCCAGGTCTCTATTAATAAGACATGCCACATCTAGGAAAACAGTAAATAATGAAAAATCTTGCAAGGTATGTGAGGAATATTGTATTTCACACAAATAAGGAAATAGTTTGTTCAAAACCTCCTGTTGGAGAGAGCTTCATTTGGAATGTCCGAGGCTCCACTTTATCCTGTCACAAGACAAAAAACAGCAACTTTGTCTTGTAACCAACGCTTCAGAATGAATATTTGTTCGAATTATTTATTCAGTTACATTTTGTCATTTCCATTCATCTCACAGCATCACATAACTTCATCCACGAAGCAAGTTCTCTCAAACATACCACATGAGTTTAGTTGGGTATGATCGCTATTCACTGGCCTCTACAAAATCCGACCCTCGCCTATGCTTATGCTTGTGTTTATGCTTGTGTTTATGCTTGTGCTTGTGTTTCCGGGACCTTGTGTGCTCTACATCCAGAGTGTCAGCATCTAGCTCTCCATCTTCTATTCCCACTGACGACACTCTCGATGCCACCTCACCATCATCTTTAGCATTCAACATTTCCCTTTCCAAAATGTCATAAGCATCATCTCCCTCTTGTCTCGATGCCATCTCTCGTTGGTCTCTCCCGGTCTTCCTCTCCACCCCGGGCCCACCCTCTGTTTCAGAGTTGATCTCCATCCCTATAGCCCTCCCAACCTCATCCCTCCCACGTGAGCCTTCCCGCCCCCGAGACTCGCTCCTATCGTGGGACCGACGTCGGCGCTGGTGTTTGCGGGACGATCTATCGCGGTGATATCTCCTACGGTCATCCCTATCTTCTTCCACTCTTCTGTGTCTACGTCCCTCCCTTTCTCCATCATCCCTCTGACATCGTCTCCTCTCTCTGTCTCTACTCCTCTCTCTGTCTCTACTCCTCTCTCGATCTCTACTCCTCTCTCGATCTCTACTCCTCTCTCTGTCTCTACTCCTCTCTCGATCTCTCTTTTTCTCTCGATCTCTTTCTCTCATGTCTGGCACATCTGCTAATCTAGAAAGAGAATTAACAGTGGATGACTTATTGACTTATCAAGACTTGATAATTCAGAAATATTTGCAGCATGGCAAGGAAAACCTAAATAGTCCATCACACAATCTACTAATGCTTGGTTAGAAATTGTGATCAACCTCAGAGGAAAGTGCTAGTCCACAAAGAAATGTCACTAGTCCTTCCTTAATGTTACCATGGTTACCAGGACCCGCAGACGTATGTTAGAATCAAGTCAATAATGTGAGCAAACAACAAATCAAGGCATTGTGTCAGGCTTTCTCAGGATATGATATACATCTCAGTACAGTCATTATACAATATAGGACAGAAAACATACAGATTAGAGATTCCCATCCTGCTGTATTTGTTTGTCTATTGTTTAACACCACAATCAGCAATCGAGTCTGGGTTAGACAAACCAGTGATTGATATCATGACCCATGCCCTTTGTGTACAATGACACACAATTGTAAGAGTGAATATTATCCTACCCTATTTTTCATCACGGGGATGAAATTCTCTAGTGTCAGGATGATTCTCCCTAGTGAATTTGAACCCATACCAGTGTGTTTAATCCTATAAATACTCTACTCTAGAATAAAACTTCCCCCGGGATAATATTTAGGTAGGATATAATCCTTGCTTACACAATCACCCAACCATCCCACTGGATCCATCACGTCACCTCTTACACCTAGCATAGACTGCTGGGGACTCGGGGCAAGGGGGCAGTGTACCTTGAGCTGGAGGACTCTCTCTGTGGCTCCTCCTTAGCACTGTCCGAGGTTTCCTTCACCGACTCCTCAGTCTCCGGACCACCCAGCATCTTGATCTGATTCTGTATCACCTCACGGATAATCTACAACACACACAGTCTGTGCTAAATACGTTTGAGACGACTAACCCGAACTTGGCTCATGGCACCATTTTTAGTAGGATTTAGTGTTATTAATATGTGGACTGTCATTGTTAGCTGAGCTTACAGGGTTGGCTGGTTTGTTGTTTAATGCCGCACTCAGCAATATTACAGCTATATGACGGCGGTCTGTAAATAATCGAGTCTGGACCAGACAATCCAGTGATTGATATCATGAGCAAGGATCCATGCAATTGGGATCGATGACATGCATCAACCAAGTCAGCGAGCCTGACCACCCGATCCCGTTAGTCACCTTATACGACAAGCATAGTCACCTTTTACGGCAAGCATGGGTTGCTGAAGACCGATTCTACCCCGGAATCTTCCCAGGTTGCTGAGATTACTAGTCTGAACATAGTAAGTTGCAGACTTGATGCAGTCAGTGAGACGGTTGGATAATACGCTGCTCAGTCAATGCTTTGATATGACACAGAAATGAACTCCAGAAATCCTCCTCCATAGTTTGCAATATTTGTCAAAGTGATTTATATGTCATAATTCTCTCACATTCAGGTATTTTAGGGGAAATAATCTTTAGAATATTCTGTAAACTAGTCTGGCCTAGTTATGACATGAAATAATCTTCACCTCAGTGTAGGACTTCTTCGTGATGTGAACATTTTTGGCCCGGTATGACTGTCTACGCCGCTTCATGTCTCGTAATTCAGCCAGCATCTCGTACTTGTTCTTTGGCTTGTCCTTGTTCAAACCACCTGCAAAAACAGCCGTGACATTCTATACTGATCATGTTGAGTTACAGCATCAGTTGATTTACTCCAATACTAACTAGGTCAGGTAGAGCGAAGTGAATGAGTGTACAGTGTAGAGGTGCAGTTCGTGGTATTGAAAGCAGCATGTGACTACTTCGGTCAACCAGGGGTTGATAGCAAAGGTACTCTCACCCAGTCGGCTCTGTGTGGATTTCCCCTTTTATTTTCCTGTTACTGTCTGATTTCTCCACACAGCCAAGAGGAATACTGGGTAAACAACATGTTTTGGAATTTGATTTTCCATACCCACAGTATATAAAGCTGACATGTTAACACAAACCTGTTTCAGTGTCTAAAAGCCAAAGAGTAAAATTTGTAAAGAAAAGAATGAGTTTGTATTCCTTTTAAAGGAGAAAATGATTATGTTTTTACAGCAGACTTTTGGTAATTTTACCGCAGAATTCGACTGGGTCTGACAAACTCAAAGTATTGACGAAGATCACGGGTAAGAAGTATGTGAGTATGGTTTTATGCTGCTTTTACCAGTATTCCAGCAGGGGGACACCAGAAATGGGTGTCACTTATTGTACCCATGAAGGGAATCAAACCCGGGTCTTCAGCCTGACGAATGAACGCTTCAACCACTAGGCTACCCCATCGACCCTTATGGATAAGGAGTAATCGTCCATACAGTTTGGTTTCCGGGCTAACAGCATTCAGACTAACATGGTTTCACTGTCAACATTTCTAGGCTACTGATTTAGAGATGTAATCGAGTATTATCAGAAGTGTTGATTGTATCATAAGGACGTAAACATAACTGACATAATATGTGTGTCTATTGTTTAATGCCGCACTCAGCAATATTCCAGCTTTATGACGGCAACCTGTAAATAACTGTGTGAGTATTGTTTTATGCCACTTTTAGCAATATTCCAGCAATATCATTGCGGGGGACACCAGAAATGGGCTTCACACATTGTACCCATGTGGGGAATCAAACCTATGTCTTTGACGTGACGAGTGAACACTTTAACCACTAGGCTACCCCACCGCCCATGTCAATAACTGAGTCTGGACTAGACAATCCAGTGATCAATACTATAAGGAACGATCCACGCTGAAGGGGTATGTAGACACAAATCAACCAAGTCACAGATCCATTAAGTCACCCCTTACGACCAACATAGGACCAAGTCTTTCACAGAATCCTCACAGGAACAGATATAATACCTTTCTTCACGACAGCCTGCCAGTCGATGGTGAGGAATTCATCCTTTTCCACATTCAGCAAGTCGTTGGCTGGCTTGGCTCTCTCTGCCACATACTGATGGATGGCAAGGCGTTCACTCGGGGAGAAGTTCACCATGTAGTCCTCTTGACTCACCGGCATCTGACGTGGGCCCTTGGATGCTGCAACAGTCACACCTGTCCTTGGTAACAACAGGCTTAGACGGCAGACACATCTGATGTAACCACTCACTCACAATTCTGATTCAGACAGACATTTAGTGTAACAAAACAGCTGTTCCATTTGAAAAAAATTAGTCAGGCATCGGGTTACCTCCCTTTATCGGCTTGTCGACCAGTCACTTGAACGCGAGACGGATTGCGCAGTTTCGAAGAAAGTAAACATGTTTCAACACGATAGCAAACGGGTGTGCGTTGGTGTGAGTGAAACATTTCATATATTTTGTAACTCTACGATGAATATGCTTTTAGAAAATACTACATGTAAGTTTCTGAAAAATATGTACATAGGAGAAAATCGCTGTCAAAAACAGAACATTTTTGCACATTTTTCTCCGAATTTGACCATTTATTATTTTTCTTATGACATTTTATTCATCTCATACGATAACAAGTATAATGATCTATAACTGTACTTAATTTTGTGTTATTATTTTCATTAATAACACTTGTAGAGACATCTCGCGTACACGTTACGTCCTCTACTGCTCACAGTCATTCACTGCCGATTCCCTCCCCCTCCCTCCTACATCCTGAAATATACTGTAACAGTGCCACTTGGAACAGTTTCTGTTATATCACAACATGTCAGCTTACACTACTCTTCCCCCATGCGACAGTTGTCTATTGACATCATGAATCCACCAAGTATCAGTACTATTACCTGTCCAAACTATCTTGTTGATAATCTCTGCATCTGAAAACAACAAACAGAGACATGGTTACTCTGCAAAACCCCAGTTTGCAATACACAACACTGCACAAAGGCTACATTACTTATTCTGGTATAATCTGTGCTAACAGGATTAATGTCAAAGAATAAACATCTAAAAAACTTTTGACAGGGATAACCAGAGAAGTCATTCTATCTAAATGTACACTTGACATTAGGGCTGGCTATTGATATTGATAATAGAGATCGATAATCACTAACTAAATATTGATAAAAATAATTAAGCAAATATGCAAGAAAGTCCCCAAAGAAATCAACATATTTCACACCACTGGTGACTAGTGACACATTTATGAAAAAAACCAATGGTACATGAATATCATGTCACGTCATGCTCACCTAGTTTGATAGGCTGGACTACAGAGTTCTCTGGGACAGGGGGTCCTTTCAGCAACTGGAGATGCTGAATGATGAACAGAACAACCCGGTGAGTGAGTTGGGTTTGAACAATTTTCCAGTTATATTGCGGCGTGTCAGCTTAATGTGGGAGGAAAGCCCGAAGTGATGCAGGTTTCAGACACTTACTTTGGTGAAACCCACAAGCAAGGGTATGGTGCTGACAAAGCTAGAAACATAATTGGGGTGAAGCAGGATTCGAACCCTTGATCATAGATTTCTGGCATGCTTAAGAGACGCAACTCTGCACAGTGAATTGCAGACAACTGGGCCATCCACAGATCCATGCCCCTGAACATTACAAGAGTAACTGACGTTCCAACACATAACATGTCACACTCACCAACAAAATTGTACAATAAATAATGAAAAAAATAAAAACGGCAGAACGATCATGATCAATAGTTAAAATACTGCTGGAAATTATGACAATGCATTAAAAGTATTCTATTCTCAATAGTATGTAACTATCAGTCTGCTGATGAGCACTTCATGATAAATCATTTCCAAGGTTACCACTTTACTGAAGATTGCAAATAAATTCAATTCCTAAGATCTTTTGTGATTATATTGGTGAAACATTTCAAAAAACAACTCTGGATATATTGAAAGTTTATTAATAAAAGTGACAATGTAATATATTCAAATAAAAATGTTCGCTTATAATTTCAATACCAAGTTGTAACACAGTTTGGAAGAAACTGACCTTTGACAAGTGTTTACTATGTGATATACCTGAATGGAAGTTACTAAAAGAGAGCAATGGTCAACAAATACATGATAGAAACCATGATGTATGCCAGGTCGCATATTGTAATTCAAATCAATATGATTCTATGTGAAAAATTGTAATTATAAAAAGCAGCATAACATTGGCATGAATGACCACAATGTTGGGCAATGTATTAACTGTGATAGTCAGACCTGCACCATGACTGTGACATATCTAATATATGAAAACAAACTCAGCATAAGAAAAAAAACCTTCAATATGTTCAAGAGGAGAGAAATGTTTGGTCATCATTTTGAAATTTCCGAATCAATCCTCTTAAGCACATTCAGGTGTCATCATTGCTGGAACAAGCATGTGAAGTTTCAGCTTCATTGGTGGTTTTCTGACAAGCAGGCCCTGACATAAGTTCACTAGACTTTCAGTCAGGTGAGCTAAAAATTAAATGTTTTGAACATGTTGAATGTGAAAGTGATGACAGTGATTACCACTTCCTCCTTGGGGCATCCCTGAGAGGTGTACTGACACACTTCTGTGTGTTTCTTCAGAGAAGAGGCTGGCATAACATGGCCACTGTCATAGGGGCAGACAACTCCGTCCTCCTTCTGAAATGTGAAATCACAAATTAACTCCACAGATACTGGGGTAATACTTATTTTGTAATGTAACAAAGAGGGCTCAGTGCATTTATGTCCTTATCAATCATAGGAGCTGTAAGCATGATAAGTGTAGCCATTTCTTAGTTTCGTTACTTTGCAATGAGTAATTGTGACACAATACAAACATAATAAAAAGTCTTATCATCATTATCATGGTTTTGTGTGCTAAATCGGAAGCGCTCTTTAACTCTCCAATATCATCATTATTGAAGCCAGAGTTTGTTTTTTCACAGATGGGATATAGTTGGACAGTTAAGGACTGAAGCATGATCTGTGAATCCAAAGCTAAACAACATTTACTCACTATTCAATAGTTTATTCAATAGTTTTATTCACAAGTCATAAAATATGCTATGCATTACAACTGTGCAAGGTATCATGACTAATATATAGAGGTTATCACGCGAGTGTGTTTGGGGATGGTAAATATCCTGCATTAGGAATAAACATTGTATTTAGCGAGCCTTGGCGAGCTAAATACATCGTGTTTATTCCTAATACAGGATATTTACCATCCCCAAACACACAAGCGTGATAACCTTTTTATCATATAATGTCATTCTCTAAAGTTGCCCAAACTTATAAAATGCCTTAGCTACGTCACAGTTAGACACTGATTTTCAGTATATTAGACTGTTCTTTTGATAATGATAGCAATTATTCCTGTAGTTTATCCAGATTCCCGATGGTTAATTCTGACTCGACGCCATGTTTGTTTATAAACAGTGAAAGTAATCCCTACTTGACCTTTTGATATTTGCATCTCTATCTACATATGACCCCAACGGATATCGTTTTTATCCGTTGGCCTTATCCTGCCGAGAAACCTACCCATTATATGATAAATACAGATACAGGCATTCTAGCCTATTTGCTAAACAAAATATCAGGAAGATAGTGCTATTGTCATTATATGTGTCATGTCTGTAACATATCTTTCAACAAAGTTCAAAGCACACTTACCTTTGCAAAATGTTCTGGTGTCCATGACAGTGTTTGTAGTAAAGATGAAATCTTATCTTGGTATTCTGTGATAAATTCCTTAAGATCTTCCACATACTTTCTTCTGTCTGTAATGGTCTCCTTGTCAATTTCTGTGTCCTCCATCCCCTAAAATATCAGTAAAACATTTAACTAACAGTATTGTAATATTTTACCATCATCAGCAAAACATCCAACATGTCACCAAAACAGTACCAAGTGAACATCATAAATTAACATCAGCAAATATTCCTGTATCAGTGAAACTGCCCCCGCATCAGACATTATCTGTATCATTGAAAAGAAATGTTTGTATCTGTAATATTAAAACACCTCAACATAAAAAAATTCAAAACATCCATGCATTAGTAAAAACACTCTGTCTTCATAGCTTACACACCACAGACACTCCTAGAGATAAAATCTCATTTTCTTCCATTATAGGCTAGAGGTTCTATATTATCTACATAATGGGACAAAGTCTGAATGACAACGTATCCAGATAGAATACAGGAAATAATAATAAGCTGATCTAACACACAACACTATGGAGAATTACTGAGAAATGTTGGGGTTTAGGAACCTATAGTGGCTGAAAATCGGAAACTTGTAAGCAGATGATCACATACTATTCTTCACTTTTCACTGCCTGTGACACATGCCTGAAAAAAGCATTGTCTTTAAACATGTGAAATTGATTGATACTCTGTACATTCATACAAATTGTAAATGGTAATATCATAAGATAACAATAGTAAATGGGACACAGGAAAGGCCGCGTCTGAGGTTTTGCCTATTTCATATTATCAGTATTACTATTAGCAGAGAAAAGTTGCAACGAGATGACTGCTCCTCTGAAACAACCGATGAATGATTGAATGAGATATCATGCAAGGCTATTTGGGTCGCTCTGAGTATGAGCGCTTCTGGCTCTTTGTGTACGTTGAATTAACCACTATATACACCGCTAGTCTTACGCATACTTATGTACCGTTCATCAGGAGTAACATAGGAAACATGCCCTGCAAAACCCCGCTTAAGCTCTTCACAACGTTACAGATATTTACCATACGTTATACGTGAGTTCTGCAGTGCGTGGAGCTTTGTTGGCAACGGTCATTACAAAAGTGAAACAGGAAAACTAGACCGGAAAACATGTTGCTAAGAACTGCCTAACTCGAACATAGATTTATATATTATCCTTTGTGATCTAATATGAATAATGCTGACAATACTATATTTCTTTGAAATGATAACAAACTATTCCTATACACAGTTTCAGTTCAACATGTTTTTGCATGGCTAGGCTAAAGACACAGAGTTGTAATTAAAAAAAGAGAAATGTGTTTACTGAAGTTGTATTTGCTTTAGTAGTCTGTCTCACAGACCCAAGCGAACAAATTAAACAAGAAGTCCAACTCAAGTTTAAAATGACTGTGCAAGTATAGATTGCCTCAGCTCTAGGAAATTTAGAATTGTTCTGGGCTAGGCTACTTTTTTAATTTTATTATTTTAATTTTATATAATCTTTATAGTCATCTGCACATAATTTCTGAGGTATGTGTATTGACAAAACTAGCCAATTAATGTGACAGGTTGCATGGATAAAACCTTTGAATTAAACTTTACTGTATTGTTAAAACTTCCTGTGAAGCGATTGGACACCTCCTTCAAAAACCGGTGAAAACGGTATCCATTAATTAATAAACGAAGGCTGTAGTTTAACGACAGTGAATATACCGCTAAAATCTTATTCGAATTAACAACTGAAGTATAAAGTAAGGGTGTAAGGAAATATAAGTAAGATAAGAGTGAGTCTATATCTGTAGGACATTGTGAATGAATATTATGCAGTAACAACTGGCATTTCTACCCGTGTTTGAGAATTGGCATCCCCTGACATTCCACACACAAAGTTAACTGACACTGTCAAGACATGTATCATGGGCGGATACAGCTTTTTTGAAAAGGGGGGGTGCACAATTAAGATCTATTTATTGTCTTTGGTGGTAATTTATACGTCACGTAGGTAGGCTTATGCTGTAATAAAGGTAGGTTTCAATGTGGTAGAAGTTAGCGGTAGTTTCGTAACCGCTCATGTTTAGAAATTAGATTTGACAATTATGTAAATTGAAAAAGTCTGCATTTATAAGTTGTGTCAGACATTGGCTAAGAAATCCTAAACTATCGTGTTTTTAACAGCATATCGAGAAATGGTTTCAGCACGCCATGCCATACAGCCTTACCATTTCAACTTCATGCGAAGGTTGAGACACTGATTTTGCGAAACAGGCTTAATTTCAGACTAATGTATCCAGAGTGGTTAAGTTTAAAATTAGCTAAAGTTGTTTTGTGTATTGGGACTTAACTGTCAACAAATAGCTCATTGTCTCAGTCCATCGTCCAGATGTGCCTATGTGTAGTAGGCCTCACTGTCACAGGCCATGGTCCAGCCAGGCCTGGTATAGTAGCCCTCACTGTCTCAGTCCATGGTCCAGACCTGCCTATGTATAGTAGGCCTCACTGTCTCAGTCCATGGTCCAGACCTGCCTATGTATAGTAGCTCTCACTGTCTCAGTCTATGGTCCAGACCTGCCTATGTATAGTAGGCCTCACTGTCTCAGTCCATGGTCCAGACCTGCCTATGTATAGTAGGCCTCACTGTCTCAGTCCATGGTCTAGACCTGCCTATGTATAGTAGGCTTCACTGTCTCAGTCCATGGTCCAGACCTGCCTATGTATAGTAGGCCTCACTGTCTCAGTCCATGGTCCAGACCTGTCTATGTATAGTAGGCCTCACTGTCTCAGTCCATGGTCCAGACCTGTCTATGTATAGTAGGCCTCACTGTCTCAATCCATGGTCTAGACCTGCCTATGTATAGTAGGCCTCACTGTCTCAGTCCATGGTCCAGACCTGTCTATGTATAGTAGGCCTCACTGTCTCAGTTCATGGTCCAGACCTGCCTATGTATAGTAGGCCTCACTGTCTCAGTCCATGGTCCAGGCCTGCCTATGTATATGTAGCAGGGCATGGAGTGATCCCAAAGATGATATCCTTACCTTGTCACCTTGCTGACGGGGTTAACCTCTTTGGTCATATGGACAAGGCGTCAGACCTCTGATCAGAAGGCCCGTGGTTCAAATTCCATCACGGGACTCGGAAATTCAAAGGCCGCTACATTGGCGCCCAACGTGGGGCTGAGCACGTTCATATCAAATTTGAGCAAAATAAGTCTCAGTAACCTACTATGCGGCCCGGGGCGTGCCTCATGTTGACTTGGAGTATGTAGCAGGGTGTGGAGTGATTCAATAGATGACATCCATATCTTGTCAGCTTGCTGACAGGGTTAACCTCTTTGGTCATGTGGACAAGGCGTCGGACCTCTGATCAGAAGGCCTGTGGTTTGAATCCCATCACGGGACTCAGATATTTTATGGCTGCTACATATAGTTGGCCTCACTGTCTCAGTCCATGGTCCAGACCTGCCTATGTATAGTAGGCCTCACTGTCTCAGTCCATGGTCCAGACCTGCCTATGTATAGTAGGCCTCACTGTCTCAGTCCATGGTCCAGACCTGCCTATGTATAGTAGGCCTCACTGTCTCAGTCCATGATCCAGACCTGCCTATGTATAGTAGGCCTCACTGTCTCAGTCCATGGTCCAGACCTGTCTATGTATAGTAGGCCTCACTGTCTCAGTCCATGGTCCAGACCTGCCTGTGTATAGTAGGCCTCACTGTCTCAGTCCATGGTCCAGGCCTGTCTATGTGTAGTAGACCTCACTGTCTCAGTCCATGGTCCAGACCTGCCTGTGTATAGTAGGCCTCACTGTCTCAGTCCATGGTCCAGACCTGTCTATGTATAGTAGGCCTCACTGTCTCAGTCCATGGTCCAGACCTGCCTGTGTATAGTAGGCCTCACTGTCTCAGTCCATGGTCCAGACCTGCCTATGTATAGCTGGCCTCACTGTCTCAGTCCATGGTCCAGACCTGCCTATGTATAGTAGGCCTCACTGTCTCAATCCATGGTCCAGCGCCAACGCAGGTTTGCTTGGCATGCTTTAATGTAAGCAGGGTTAGCTCCCCTTGGTAGCTCGCCTGTCTTGGGAGGCTCGCTTGGGTTTCGCGGTTCGTTTCGAGTGTTGCCAATAAATATCATCAAGTCTTTACCTGTGTCCTGTCGATGTGTGACAAGTGTACAGTTCCTCCTAACCTAACTGGCGTGGTGGCAGCGGGTTTGAACTCACGTCTAACGAAGCAGGCGACACAACGAACTGTAGTACTTGCATACTTTCACTGAACGTGATCAACAGGTCAGGCGGTAGAGTGCCTGGATAACGCAGAGTAAACAAGACTGTCATTATGGCCAACGCTCAACGTGCCCCGAAGCAATGGTGCCTCGGTAAGATTGAGACTGTAAATTCTTTCGACGGGGCAGTCTGGCATAAGAAAACTAGGGCCACGCCACTCAGGGGCATGACTGACGACGGGGAAGACGTCCGTGAAGCTGTTAGAAGAACTGCAAGATAAAAGGTTAGCAGTTTGGAGCTCATGCTCGGCCAGATTGCCAATTATTGTCCGATAATTTCACGGAACACCATAATAAAATCCTCAACGTCAGTAGATGCCATATGGCATGCCATACGCCTACATTTCGGGTTCCAAGCAACCGGCGCTCATTTCATTGACTTTGCCGAAATCAAACTTGAAAATGACGAGAGACCGGAAGATTTGTATCAGAGACTAATGGCTTTTGTGGAGGACAGTTTACTCCGCCGTGAAGGGGGAATAACCCACTATGGCAATGCACCTGAAGAGGACGAGGAATTGTCACCATCGTTAGAAAATTTTGTTGTGCTCACATGGCTGAGGCTGATACACGTTGAACTTCCAAAGCTCGTCAAACAACGTTATGGGACAGATCTTCGCTCACGAACAATTTCCTCTTTGAAACCTGAAATCTCACAGGCTCTCGATTCACTTTTAGATGAAATCCGCACAGCAGAGGATGCTAAGGTTATGAGGACAAACACTTCACAACAGCGCTCGTCATTCTCACGTTTTGCTAAAGCACAACAAACGGGTAGAAAGTTTCAAAAATCATGCCCACTGTGTAAAGCTGCAGGACACAGCGATCACGTTCATTATCTCAGCGAGTGCAAGTTCCTACCAGATCATGACCGGAGATACATGGTCAAAGCAAGACAAATTGCCAGTATACTTGATGACCCTGCTGACGATGCTAGTGATACAGTTGAAAATGCGTGTGCAGTGCCATCTACTGAACCTGTCTCCACTCTTCGTGTGCAAGTCCGTCAGTCGCCCTATATGTACTGTTTCTGTGGCCACCAGACGGCACGAGTCACTGTAGATAGTGGAGCTACTGGTAACATGATCCGCCTCTCAACAGCAACAGGCTTCGGCGCTGACATCAAGACTAGCTCTCAGTCAGCCCATCAGGCAGATGGCTCTTCCCCACTGAAGGTCGTTGGAGAGACAAGAATCCTTTTCACACGCGACAACAAGGAGTTCGATTTTAATGGTCTTGTGGTGGAAAACCTGGATGTAGAAGTCCTTGCAGGCATACCATTTATGGAGGCCAACGATGTGGCAGTACGCCCTGCAAAACATCAGATCATACTTGGTGATGGCACGACATACACATACGGTTCCACAGAAACAACTGGTGACGAACATACTGTGAGACGAGCTTGTGTACTCAGAGCCCCAGACACTTCTACTACCATATGGCCTGGAGACTTTATTGAGGTGCCGGTTCCTGAAAGCTTTGCTCCTTCGGATTTCACATTTGCCATAGAACCCCGCATAGATACCAGACCTGGACGCTCTACCTTATCATCCACTTGGCCAGAATTAGGAATTATCTCAAGCGTCTCAGGCAAAATCAGGATCCCGAATCTGTCAGACACTCCACAACTGCTCAAG